TGCCAAATCCAGGTAAGTACTGAGTATTCCACTTTATTCCTGACTTAAACCTTGTGGATGGTAGACAGGACAGCAAGTAACCTGTCCTGGTGTTGTAGTCACAGTATTGATATGGCTGAAACTAAAACAGACATTGCTGGAGAAACTCAGCAGGTCCGGCAGCATCTGTGGACAGAAAGCAGAGTTAACATTTCGGATCCAGTGACCTTTCTTCAGACTTCCAGCATCCACAGTTCTTTGTTTTATTGCTAGAGCTGATCCTATTAAAGTTCTGGTTAATGCAATCCTCGGAATGGAGTGATTGTGGATGTTGGACTGTGACTTAAGAGAAGAAGGGTGTGCTTGGCTTATTTTCTTGTGGCCTATTTGTTTGTTGGAGATCATCATTACCTGACACTTACCAGATGTATTACCTGGCATCTACCAGCCCAAGGATGAATAATATCAAAGTTCTTCTGTGCGCTGACAAAGGCTGCTCTAGTATTAGTGGATTTGTGAATGTAGTTAACCTGAGATCATCAGTGAACAGCCACATTCTTGACCTTATGACAGCAGAAAGGTTATTGATAAAACAACTAAAGATGCTTGGGCTGAATTATTTCCTTAAGAACTTCTGTGGTTATGATCTGGGACAATGACAATTGTCTGCCAGCAACCATGACATTGTTCGTATATGTGAGATATGACTACAGCCACCTAGTTTAGTTGACCTCTATTGACCTTAGACTTACGCAGGCCTCTTGGTGTCTGTCTCAGACAAACTAAATGTCAAAGATACTAATTGATCTTTTCTCCAGTATTCAGTTTTTGCACCCTGTGATGATGTATGTAGTTCTGGCTGAACCTGATATGCATGTTGGCAAATAGGTTGAAGATGAGTAGATGCTAGATAAGGCTTTAAGGCAAAGGAACCAGTGGTTAGAAATAAACAAAAATGTGCGGCAATTTTGTTCAAAGAAACAATGACAGCTGTGAAGAAGGATGATGTTCAAGAAGATTATTAAGTAAGGCCACATGCATTAGCTAAGGAAAAAAAAGGAGGCAATTTTACATACATATAATAACAGTATCAATGAGTGTTGTGGACCATCAGCAGCAGTAGAATTGTATTCAACCCTCAATCGGTAACCGCATGGCCTTGCATATTCTTCACTCTACCCTTACAATCAAGCCAGGGGATTAACTCTGGTTCAATGAAGAATGCAGGACGGCATGCCAAGAGCAGCGCTACACATGCCTAAAAATGAGGTGTCAAAATGATGAGGCTACAACATAGGATTACTTGTATGAGAAACAGCAGGTACAACATGAGATACACAGAGCCAAGCTATCACACAATTTACAAATCAGGCCTAACTCCATGGTCCTGCCAAATCCAGCTGTGAATAGTGGTGCACAATTAAACAACTAACAAGAGGAAGAAAATCCACAAAAATGTCATCCTCAGTGATGGGGGGGAACCCTGGATGTCACTGCAAAACCCTGAAGCATTTACATTCATCTTCAGCAATAAGTGCCAAGTGGATGATCAGTCTCAGCCTCCTCCTCAGGTTTCCAACATCACTGATACCAGTCTTCAACCAATTTCATTTAGGCATGGTGACCCTAAACTTACCAATAGTCATCTCTCTCAAGTGAAAGAGCAGTCTATGGACTTCTGAGATAATGCAAACTTCCATTTCTTTCACTCCAAGTGATATCAAGAAATGCTTGAAGGCACTGGAAACTGCTAACTACGTTCCTGCTACTTTTCTCCTGCCGTTGTGCAGACCTCTAAGGTCTGTGTGTGGCAGCAGCTTCCAGAATCAGAAGGCAATGTGTCTGTAAGCTGATCAGTGTGTGTGGACCCTCTGAGCAGCTGCATGGTTGTGCAGCTTATAGAAAACATTAACTGCAAAGGCTGTGGGACCTGATGATATTCTACCAATAGTACTGAATACTTAAGTTCCAGAACTAGCACACCGCTTCCAGGTATCTGGGACACTGATATTGTTATGAATAGAATAGAACCTCTACAGTGTGGAAACAGGCCATTCAGGCCAACAAGTTCACACTAACTCTCCGAAAAGCATTCCACCCAGACCCACCCCATCCCTGTAACCCTGCATATCCCATGGCTAATGTGCCTAACCTATACATTCCTGAACACTATGGGTAATTTCTCATGGCCAATTCACCCACCTTGTACATCTTTAGACCATGGGAGAAAACTGGAGCACCCAGGGGGAAACCACACAGACACGGGGAGAACATACAAACTCCTCATAGATAGTTGCCTCCTCACAGAGGGTGGAAAACCTGGGCCCCTGGCACTGTGAGGCAGCAGTGCTGACCATTGAGCCACCATGCCAAAACCCCTTCAAATATATCAAAGAGATAGCCTAGACCTTAACTTTTTCTTATTTAAAGGTAAGTGTAAGGTTCTGTGTTGCAGATGTAATTCAATTGTTTACACTACTTAGTTTTAAGCAAAATACACTTTATTCTTATCCTATGGTTGAAATACAAACAAAAGAAGGAAGAATTGGAATAACTTAACAGAATAATAGGTTATTTAACTACTAAATTACAGTAACTGTTCCAATATAGTAACATCCCATAAACACACTCTTGGCTAAGGCAAATTTAGTAAAACAGATTGTCTCACATGTAATTCTGGCAGCAGGAAGAGAACCCAAGCTTATAGCTGTAACAAAGAGAAAAATGTAGTAGCTTTGATAACCAGCTTCCAAATGCAGCAACTACTGAAAGCTAAACTAAAAAAAAATCCCAGTTCTGTGGGAGCCTGACTCCACCCATTCATGCTGCATCAATTGTTCCAACTTTAAAATAAAACCAAGGCCTTACAAGCTGTTTACTTTATTAGCTTGGAGGACACAGGTTGGCATCTATGGTCAAATCCTCTTCAAAAATAACCAGGACAAAATATATCTCTTACAGTTATTGTATCATTATAGTATCTTTCCAGAGATATGGCAAATTGCCACTATGTCCTGTCCAGAAAAAGCAGGTCAAAGCTGGCCAGTTACTGCTTTTCAATTTCAAAAATGTACCTTATTCACAAAAAGAACTATACATACATACATAGTTACTAAAGCAGTTCGGTTCTGCACAGTCTTTCTCTCCACCAGCCGAGCAATGTATTGGTGCTTGTTGGAAAGTTCTGGTGATGAGGCATTCTGCCAAATGACTTTGACAGTCTGCTCAGGGAACAACCCAACAGGATCTGCCCTCTCCTTTTCCCACAGGTCACGAGGACACTACATGCTGACCACTTGTGGTCAAAGGTGTTTTTCTTTGCAAATTTCTCCAACTACTTGCAGTCTTCTGAGGCACTGAGGCTAGTCCCATCCTTTCTAACACAAGGGACAGGCAGAACCTCAGTATAATGTGGTACTTAGTGTTTGTGTACCAAGGGTCTACGCATAGCTTGATGCAGCCACACACAAAGGTGGCCATCAGGATGAGGTCTGCATTAGGTATATTCTTCCCCCCTTATCCATGGCCTTTTACATGGTGTCCCTGCAGACACAATCCATCTTCGACCTCTAGATAAAGCTCAACTACCTTTATTTTTATTTTTCTCAATTACTATATAATTTTTTAATATATTTCATTCTTCTACTTGTTGTTGTAACAATGTATTTATTTGCTGAAGGCTATTGTATTTGCCAACAAAGAGAAGTAAAGCACATTGAGATCTCTAGAGCATGTTATGAATTGTTATATAAATGAAAGCTTAAAAGGAATTCCAGATTAACATGACACATTAATGGCATCAAGACCAGGAATCCATAACGTGCAGCTCCAGAAATGCAAGCAGACTATTAAAGACTGTTGTGCAGTTCTAAGCCTCGATTGATTAAACCCATTGAGGCCAATTACATGCTTCATTTTTATTAAACTTCTGTTAACATTGTATTTGTCAGAAAGTACCAATATTTATTTTTTAATATCCTTTAGATTTTTGTCTTGCATTCATCAAGACATACCATGAGAATCCTGATCTAAAGGGGAACAATATTTTTCATACTGTACGAGCACCCCCGTGGATTTCTGAACTAATACATTGAGGAAAGGGAGCTCATTCAACTGATCCATTTTAGAGGTGAATTTGCACACACGGTGGAGTTTATTAAGACAAAAAAAAGGAAAAGTTTAGAAATATGCCAGGGGGTTCTCTACTTCTGTCTACCCTAACCCTACTAAAGAGTTAATATTTTAAGTCCAATATGACTCTTCTTTAGAACTGTGTGGAGTTTTGCTCAGAGCATCGGACTACCTTAAGATGTTGAAGTTCAATTCTAGTTACAGTCCTGTTTCATTATTCTTAGCATTTAACTAATTGCATTAGTTGCTCTTCAGATAGTGCATTCTGATTAACTTTTGAAAAGTGGCTTTTTTAAGGCTGCTTGTTCCATGATCCATAAAATTAGAAGTATTTAGAAACATTTGTAACTACTCAGTAGATAATTTACATCTTAAAGAGGTTAACATTTCAAGTGTAATCCTTCATTGGAACTCGTCCAAATTGATCGTTTCACAGATTTTTCTTAGTGCAGTTGGACACACTCTTGAGGATTCCATCTCACTTCCGGTTGCCTCCTTTTGCCCTGATCCTTACCCAACATTGGTCACTGGACACAATCAACCCAACAGGTCCTTCCTTACCCGATGGGATGAATCTTAACAGTCAAATGAAAGAAAAATCTTAAGTTTAATTACAATATTTATAATAAACAAGTGCTCAACAAAAATAAACACAAGATTTTTTAAACTATGATTTCGTTTGCAGCAACGTGTGTAAGAGATTAATGACTCCAGGACAATCCTATAGAGTTGATAGCCCGAAGTACATATATTGGAAAATGGTGAGAAAGCATCTCGCCTGAATACTACAGCCAGACAAATCCGCACCTGGCAAACTGACTTCTGCTGCGGTTTCGGAGAAGTCTTTTTGATTGACGTGAGGAGGAAGAGGTGGGTCTTTTTGTGACGGAATATCGCTCCAGTTTATAACCAACAGCCCCGACCCTCGGTCAGTCAGAAGGTTAGTGCGTTTTCGGGGGGTATGGTTTGCTCACTTGTGAATAAGAGGCAATTGTTACTTTGAATCGCTCCTATTGAAGAAGCCGCTTAACCCTGCTCCAGGTTTGCACATGTTTACGACTATTTCCTGGGGGAGGAACCAGGGGTTGGTTGATTCTAAAGGAAGAGCTTTTGGTATCGGGCGTCTATAATGTTATTTTAAAAAGGCGGCGAATAAGAAAGTAACAGCGTAGGGGTGTTAGTCAGCTGTTTAATGTGTCATTAATGCAGTCCCAGAGGGTGGGTTTTAATAGCGAAGTTTATTCTATTAAACATGTTAGCATTTTGCTTTCTTTTTCTCAAGCGGAAATCTGGCGCTAGATAGTGCAGTTGGTGAGAGGGCCGGTTGGAGTTCGGACCAGAGTTATATCATACTGTAATATAGCTGCGCTGCCGTTGGCGAGGATAGTTTTGTCGGGTTAAGGTACGTGGAGAAAATGTCAGTTCCAGCAGTCGGAAGTTGAAAGTGTGTTTCATGTTTAAGACGAGCACCCACACTGAAATTTGTTGCGAAAGGCCTGCTTTTAGACCGCGCAATTTTGAAAGTATACTTCACTCCGCCTCAACTGGAGATCACACCACTGCCCGTGCTTCCAGACTTAACCTGCACCGTTTTGCTGCAAGGTAAAGAAACTAAAAACACTCAAAAAAAACATACATGAAAGGGAATGTAAATAATCTGGTACTAATTCAGACAGCTGCTCTGTAGTAAAACCTAACTGTTGAATTGACAATGGTTAACCAGACCGGGGAGGGAGTAGGGCGCCCTAAATAAGATAGATATAGAAAACTCTTGTGAAATGAATGAATGAAGTTTCAAAACAAGCTTGCAAACTGAAGTAGACACCACTAAGTCAGCATAGAGCATGTTGTATTGTTGGCTTATGAAATAAAATGGCAAAAGTGTGGAATAAATTCAAAGAGAAAAGCAAATTGGGTTGTAAACTTACTTTTAAAGAAAAAAAAAACTGATTTATGGAAGATAGAGAAGAAATGTTTTTTTTTTATGTCGCTGTGCATTCAAATAAACAGGCATATAGTGAGCAAGAGGGCTTCGTCTTGGACAGAACTGCATTGAAGTGAGAGCAGATGGACAAATGTAATGGGAATACATTTAAAGAATTTAAAGAATCAGCTGGCAAGCTACAAGAATGAACATCAAGTAATTTAATCACTGAATCCTGAAAATTACAATCATTAAAGTAACAGCACTGGGTCTTGTCTTCACCCAATGCTTTCCCCCTCTATAATTTCCAGCAGGGATTTCAGGAAAAGATCACAAGACATGGGAGCAGAAGTAAGCCATTCAACCCATCAAGTTTGCTGCACCATTCAATGAGATTATGATCTGATAACACCCCAACCCCTCTTTCCTGTCTTTCCCCACAAGCTTTGATTGCATTACTGATTTTAAAAATTCTGATAATTAGTGTAGATTTTGGGCAAGCAATCACTTTATAGCCCACATGGACAGTGAATAGTTTTGATTATAATAAATCAGCTGACATTGCATAAATCCAAACCTTGGGAGCTAACTGTGAGCCATTCACTGGGTGATCTGGCATTTGGAGCTATAAAATGCACCTTTATACTTGTGTCATATTAATTTGCATGTATACTATAATCCAGGTAGAATAAAACTTGCGGTTATACATGAAGCCAAAGTTACAATGAAGACTGATACAGTTTTGGTATTTCATTGAGTAGTATTGATGTAAGACAGTACAATAAAGAAAGATAGAAGATTATCATTTTATAAAAGATGTATAGAATGAATTACCAAAGTTGGGTTAAAAAAGAAGTATTATTTAATGCACTTTTTTGTTGGGCAGAAAATGTTGACTAGCAATTTCATATTTCACCAGAATTGCATTATCATGGAACCTAGCAGCTGCCAGCTTCACAGTGCTTTGAGGCGCTCGTCAGAGCTTGGGCGTGAAGTTCTGAAGCGTGCTCAGAATAGGAGAGTACATTGGTCGCCAGATAATCAGTTATGCAGTGGCGAAAGAGAATCAGCAGAATCTTCAGTTCAGAAAGATGAGGTAAAAGTGCAAGTTGAAGCATGCCATGTAACAAAGTCTTCAGTGCCAAGTTGTGAGATATTAACACATGAAGAAGTATGTGAAGTAACATTTCCAACAGGGAAGGCTGAAATTAAAGCACAGGAGAAAATATGTGAAGTGCCATCTTCAACAGCAAGTGATGAGATGAAAGTCCAAGATAAGATATTTGCAGAAACATTATGTTCCACTGCAGGAGATGAAAAGTTAACACAAAATACAGTAGGCAGGACTTCAGCACCTTCAACATCAAGAGATCACATGGCACAAAATAGAACATCTTACATAGGTCCTTCAGTAGTGCATGATGAGGTGATAGGACAAGATAATGTGTTTAGAACAACAGAACCTTCAACAGCAAAGAATGAAGTGATAACGTGGAATGGACTATGTGGATCCACAGCACATTCAGTGAGAAAAAAGGTTGTGGCAAATTCAATTTGTTTTGTTTCCTAGAGATGATTCAAAGTAGTAATGATTTGTGTTCGCGAAAGACCTATTGTGTTAATACAAATTGGTAAATATTTGGATTAATATAACAGCAAAACTATCAAAAGTAACACTTTTAAAAGTTAACAGTAAAATACCAACAACATGGGAGTGAGTCACTTGGTCCAAAATGGTTAATGAATATATTTTAGGTGAACAGTAGTCCCAATTCCTTATAGTCATAAAGTCATATGGCACGGAAACAGACCCTTTGGTCCAACCAGTCCATGCCAAACATAATTCCAATCTAAACTAGTTCCACCTAACACCACCTGGCCCATGTCCCTCCAAACATTTCTTGTTTGTGTACTTACCTACAACAAAAACAGAAGTTGCTGGAAAAGCTCTGCAGGTCTGGCAGCATCTGTGAAGGAAAAATCAGAGTTAACGTTTTGGATCCGCTGACCCTTCCTCAGATTGTGTATTTATCTAACTGTCTTTTACACATTGTAACTGTGCTTGCATCCACCACTTTCTCAGGAAGTTCATTCCACACAAACAACCCACTGTGTAAAACATTGTTCTTCATGTCTTTTAAATCTCTCTCTCTCTCCTTAAAAATGTGCCCTGTGCAAAACTTAATATCCATTACTGTCTTTCAGTCATCTAGCTATTAAAAGTTGGTATGTTGTCTTCAATCCTTTAATTCCTTTTGTGCATTCAATATCCTCTCACCTCTCTTGAAAATGCAAGTTATCTGCTCTCTTCTGTCCTACATATCTCCTGTGTAAACTTTGTGTATGTCTGCTTCTTCTTGACAGCTGAATCATTAGAAATGGTTGGTCTGTATATATTTTAATCCCACCCACAATGGATTGTGAGCTGACTGCAAAATAAGCAGTTAGGTTAAAGTTAATTGTTGAGACTGGCACAAGATGAGAAGTAAGTTCTAAAATGATTTGATTTGGGAAAACTTCATACAAACAGGAGAAGTTGAAGGTCATTCAGCCCTTTGAGCCTACTCTGCCATTCGATAAGACCATAGGAAATAAAAACAGGAGTAGGCCATTCAATCCCTTAAGCCTGTTCCACTGTTCAATAGGATCATGATGAACTTTGTATGAGGTTTGAGAGTCTTTAGAACTCCTGGTCACAGAGAGCTGTGAGGACAGAGTTCTTGTTCTTAAGGCAGCGGTAGATAAATTCTTGAGCAGTACGGCAGTTAAGGGAAAAGGGCAGGAAAATGGTTACGAGTTGTGCTGGATCGACCATGATCCTACTGAATGGCCTCTCAAGCCTGCTGTGCCAAACAGCCTACTCCTGTTCCTAGTTCTTATGGTGTTATGGTCTTACTTCCTAGGGGATCTTTCTTTTGGATTAATTAAACCTGTTTCATTAATGATTACCAGATCCAGGATAATCTGCTCCCTGATTGTCTCCATAATGTATTGCTCTCAGAAACCTATTTCTAACGCACTTGATGAATTTGTTGTCGTGGCAAACCTTTTCCAACATGATTTAATCAACATAAAGATTAAAGTCACCCATAACTATTTCTCTATTCTTTTAACATGCTCCTTTAATTTATTGCATTATACCCTTTCCTACAGTTTGGCTTTTGTTTGGGGGTCTGTACACTACTCCTAAGAATGTTGTCTTTCCCTTGCTGTTATTTACCTCCACTCAAAGAGACTTTATGTCATCTGAGCCAAGATCATCTCTCAATTGTTCTCATTTCATCTCTTAACAGTGCTATTCCACAATCTTTACCTTCACTTCTGATTCCCACTTCCATTATCGATCTGGTTGTAATCTCATCTGCACTTCACCAACCCCTGATGATCTTCTATGCTCTTGCTTAATAAGAATTTGACTTCGTCTGCCTTAAAAATATTCAAGGCCCCTCTCCTATCATCTTGTTAGCAAGAGTTCCAAAGAGACACAACGCTTTGAGAGGGGGAGAAAAATTCACCTCGTCTCTTTTTAAATGGGCCACCCCTGAATTTTAAACAATGGCTCCTAGTTCTTCACTCTCCAATAAGAGGAAACATCCTGTCCTTATCTACTCTGACAAGACTCTTAGGATCTTGTATATTTCTGTCATGTCATGCCTCACTGTTGTAAACTCCAGCAGATATAAGCCTAGCCTGTCCACCCTTTCCTCAGAAGATAATGAAATAATTGGAGGTAACTTTCTCTGATGTTTCCAACACGGTTACATGCATCCTTAAATATGTTGACCAGTAGTGTGCTCAGTAGTCCTGACACAATCCCACCAGTGTCCTGATTAAGTGAAGCATAACCTCTTTTCTTTTGTACTTGCTTCCCTTCACAATAAACAATAACACTTTATTAGCTTCCCTAATTGTTTATACCTGCATTCTTTTGTAATTCATTCACTAGGACACCCAGATGTCTCTATCTGAGTTTTACAATCGCTTAGATTCATTTTTTTTATTCTTCCTACCAAAATGGACAATTTCACATTTTCCTACGTTATACCATTTTCAGAATCTTTGCCCATTCGCTTAAGATATTGTATGTCCCTCTGTAGTGTCTTTGTCCTCTTCACAGTGTATATTCCTAACTATTTTTGTCATCAACAAATTTGGAAATTATACTTTCAGTTCCTACATTCAAGACGTTTATATATGACTGTCTGTCAAAACCTTGGAGCATGCACCTTTACACCGTAATCACGAAATTAATTTTAAATCAAGAATGTTAAAAACCTAACATACTCAAACGTAAAACAAAATTAAATAGATAAACTTTTAAACAAAGTAGATTTTTATTTAATTCTTTAAAGTTAGCTTTATATTGTACATGAGCAAACTTTTCCAAAAAAAAGTGAGCATGCGCAATCAGAATATATCATGATAGCGTGGGTGTCAGGAGACACTTAGTTTATATAAGTTATGAATATTTGAGATCCCACGCTGACCCCTGTGGCACACCATTCATTACATTGTTGCCAACTTGAGAGAGACGTATTTATGCTTGCTCTTTAATTCCTGCTAGCCAACCAATCTTCTGTTCATGCCAGAATGCTACCTCCGACACTGCAGCTTTTAATTTCTGCAGTAACCTTTGACATGGCACTTTATCAAATGAGTTCTGGAAATTAAAGTACAATACATCATTTGTCCTTGTATAACTTATACTATTGTTATTTATGTTATTACGCCTTGTATTCTCTTTATCCACAGCACATTAGTTGCTCAGTGATGCCAATAAATTGATTAAACATGGTTTCCTTTTCACAAAGGAAATGTTGACTCTTCTGAGTTATATTGGACTTATCTAAATGCCCTGTTTTAACTTAGTTACAGCTTCTTATATCTTTTTCAATGTTGGAAGTTAACATAACTGGCCTGTAGTGTTTTTTTATTTGCTTTCTGTATCTCTTTCTTTTACTCATTAAATTCCATGTGATACTTTTTTCTTTGTCCATTCTATCATATATCAGTATCCTTTGGTATCTTTGGTTCTCTGAATTACTCATTATGACTCCTGTCTTACTGTCATTTTATTCTTAATTTTCTCTCCTACCAGTTACAGCACCACTTACTTAGCAGTGATGGCAAGTTCAAAAATGTATTGTCTCTTATTACTGTTAGGCAGTAAGTGTATGCTTATAACCATGTCAGCATCACGGTAGACTGACTTGTGGCATCTAAAAACCCAATGTTGTTCTGATTATAGAAACAAAGTGCTGGAGAAATTGAACATGTCTGGTAGAATCTGTGGGGAGAGAAACAGTTAATATTTAAAGTTCACTTTGACACTTCAGAACTGTTTGAGTCATATTGAAATAATAACTTTGTTTCTCTCTCTGTAGATGCTGCCAGGCCTGCAACACCACTTTTTTTTTTTTTTTTTTTTATTTATTTCAGATTTCCAGTATCTGCATATTTTACTATTTTTTGTTTCACTTTTACTTGAGTGATTATGATTTTGTCTCTTTCAGGCTAAACCAGAGTGGGCTGACATTGATGAAGCTTTTGCTTCAGTTCTACAATGTTTGGCTCATGCTAGCAGGCAGTGTAAGGTAAGAAATGCAGATATTATAATCTGTACAAGTGTTTTTGTCACAAATTACCAAATACTTTTTTTTAGGATGTCAGCAAAATGAATTCAATATTGCAGGCTATACTGACTGAGCATAATCTCCATTTGAGAGGGTTACTATTATTCATCAGATGTAAAACCAACGTGTCTGTTTAATGTCACTACAAGATTCTGTGCGAGTGTTTTGTTCCAGAAGGGCAGGTGGTGGTACAGAAAACTGATACCCAATCTTTACAAACTTTTTATGAGATTTATTTACTAACATGCTTTACTAACATGCTTTACAAACATGCACCTCAAAACCAACCATCAAAATTTTAATGTGCTTTTTACAAGTGAAACCCTAGATATTGCCCACCATCTGAACACAATTGAATACCCCAATTATGCAATTAACACCAAGGTCCCACCATTTTTAAAATATCAGATTACAAGATTATAATGGGAAGAAATGTAGTTAAACAGTTGGCAAAAAATTGTACACCTTGGCAGTCTAACAGTTCGTGAAGGCAGGACGTTTTAAAGAATAAACAAAAAAGGACTTGTAACTACTTTAAGTTTTAAAAAAAAAAAACAAAAGTTGGAGTTTGACACAATCGCCATCCCTTGTATTTATTGAGGACAAGTTGTGGAAAATAAGAAGAATTTATGGAATTAAGTATAGTTAAATTGATTGAAATGAGTGTTAGGAATGTATCCAGGATACAAAAAAGTCAAGAACTTTTATATAATACGAGCTTGGTCATGATGACAGTTATTGTTTGTACGGAGATCCAAGATAGATAAGTGCAGTGCTTTGGGTGTATAGCACTGGAGACTGTGGTACATGGAACAAGAAACTGAGAAAGAATCAAGAATTACTAGACAAATGTCAAGAATGACTTGTCCATCCTTCAACCCTTTTCTGACAACATTCTGAGATTAAGCTGGTCCCTTCACGAGCTTAGTATCAGATTTGATCCTGTGGTGAGCTGCCAACCATATTAACATGCCATTACTAAGCACTGTTTCCACATAATGAACATTGCCCAATTTCACATTACCTTGACTCATCTGCTGGTGAACCCCTCCTTCATTTCTTTGTTACTTCTAGTTTATACATTAACACATTTCTGACTAGTCTCCCACACTCTACCCTCCTTAAACCTGAGGTAATCTAAAACTATACTGTCCATGTCTTATCTTGCAAAAGGTTCTTTCCCTATTGCCCCTGTATTTTGTGACCTAAATTGGCTACCTGTAAAACAATACCTTGATTCTAAGTTTCTGATCCTACTGTGGCCCCAATCTTCTCGCCTCTTTAATCTCCTACATTTCTCAGTCCCACTGTTATTTTAAATGTTAGTCGCCATTGCTGGTGATGGTTGTAGTCTGGGCCTGAGCAGGTTTTAAATGTTGACCTGCACTGTTTCTGCAAGGATAGTCTTCAAGTCTGCCTTTTGGGTAGGTGCTCTAAGTCGAGTGCTGATTGGGTCCTGATGTAAATTTAAAGTTAATAATTACTGTTGAAAGATCATTTGCATCAGGAGTTGCTCAACTATCTCTTGTTTTCTCAGCAATTCAGATAATCTAAAGTCAAAAAGAGTTTCTTTTTCACACTATATTATTTAAATGATATTCAGCTGGGTTTTTTTTTGATGCTTTAAACAAACAGTGGTATCACCTTGGGGTACGCTATTTTGGGTCACTAATGTAGCTGATGCTGGGAAGATGGTTGTTGTTTTGAGGCCAGTCATCTCATACCAGGGCATCACTGCAGAAGTTCTCGAGGGTTAAGTCCTAGCTATATTACATTCTGTAAATATTACAGTATCCCTTATTTTGTTGTGGTTGTACCTATACCACATGTATTGCAGCATTTCAAGAAGGTGGCTCATCATCAGCAATTCAAGATCAGTTGGCCTTGGCAACAATACTGGCCTTGCTATTGACCCCCACACACAGTGAAAGGAGTAAAATTTTCTTGAGTATCATGTGATCAACATGTGACTGTATTAAGGGGAGACGCTGGCCTAGTGGTATTATCACTAGTCTATTAATGTTCTGGGGATCTGGAATTAAGAACGTAACGATGACCATGAATTCATAGTCACTTTTGGGGAAGAAAACCCATCTGGTTCATTAAATATCCTTCTTATGAAGGAAACTGCTGCCCTTACCTGGTCTGGCCTACACATGACTCCAGATCCACAGCAATACGGCTGACTCTGATGCACAGAGAGATCAGGGTGTTCAGGTCCATTGTACCCTGAAGGTGGCAACGCAGGTCGATAGTGGTCAAGAAGGCATACGGCATGCTTTCATTCATCTGACGGGGTATTGAGTACAAGAGTTGCCAAGTCATGTTACAGTTGTATAGGACTTTGGTTCAACCACATTTGGAATACTGCGTACAGTTCTAGTCGCCACATTACCAAAAGGATGTGGATGCTTTGGAGAGGGTGCAGAGGAGGTTCACCAGGATGTTGCCTGGTATGGAGGGCGCTAGCTATGAAGAGAGGTTGAATAGATTAGGATTATTTACGTTAGAAAGACAGAGGTTGAGGGGGGGACCTGATCGAGGTCTACAAAATCATGAGAGGTATAGACAGGGTGGAGAGCAAGAAGCTTTTTCCCCAGAGTGGGGGACTCAATTACTAGGGGTCATGATTTCAAGGTGAGAGGGGAAAAGTTTAAGGGAGATATGCGTGGAAAGTTCTTTACGCAGAGGGTGGTGGGTGCCTGGAACGAGTTGCTAGCGCAGGTGGTAGAGGCAGGCACAATAGCGTCATTTAAGATGTATCTAGACAGATACGTGAATGGGCAGGGAGCAGAGGGATACAGATCCTTGGAAAATGGGCAACAGGTTTAGATAGAGAATCTGGATCGGCGCAGGCTTGGAGGGCCGAAGGGCCTGTTCCTGAGCTGTAATTTTCGTTGCTCTTTGTTCTTAACTGCCTTTTGGGCATTTAGGAATTGGCAATAAATGCTGGCCTGGTCAAAATGGCGCCTACATCCTATGGAAAAATATCCAAAAAAACAGGCTGAGGCTAAAAACTGACTTTTGATTTTACTTTATTTCTTTCTACAAACTTAAGTATACTCCCTTACTGGTGAGAAGGTGTATTGCAGTTCTTAGACCAGTTATACAATGTATTTTGCACACAATTAATTCATTTTACATTAGCCATAGTTGTTATTTGGAAATCAAGTTGGTCAGATCTGATATTGACAAGTACCGCAAGCCCAACTTGGCCAATTTTGTATTATATTTATGTCAGAGGTGAAATTCTCTTTTGAATTGATTACTTAACAACACTTCTAATATGAACAAAAGATTTGCTGCTATGTAGCTGTCTTCAGTAGTAATGTCATTTAACCAGCATTTTGGTAGACGCGAGATGAATTCAATAAAAACTCTCAAAGCTTTGACTGGTCAGTGACAAAAATCTTCAGTAAAACACAGCTCTGCTAACTTTTTAATACTTGCTTATATAACCTGAAACTGGTGTCTTGAGTATAACAGTGCAGTGAAATAACATTGAACTACTGGCAGAAAATACATGGTGTACAATCCCAATAGGGAATGTTTTGCAACTTGATGTATCACTCAAACTGTGGTGAAATAGCTCATTTCAAGGGATAAAGGTATGAATGAAGTCTGAGTATGATTTAACATTTTGTAATCATAACACTGGCTTTTATCTTGTAGCACTACTATAAGGATGTACCACTGAATGAAAGAGACAAATTGGAAGAAAACCATATTCGTCGATATCACATGGGACCATCAATCACCAAAGCTCCTGTGAGTGATAGGTCTTGATGTAGAATGGACAAGGGAACTTGTGATAGGGGCAGTCTAAGGAAATTCATAATTAATCATTTTGTAATCTTAGCTGGTGGTAAAAAGATGTAATACTGATTGGAGGGGGGGAGACCTAATATTTTAAAAAGTGCTTAGGTCCAAAGTGAATCTCTCCCTTGGTGCCTTTTGCTACCAGTGATTCTCTGGTAGTTTGTTCTTTAAGTGAGTCATTAACTTGATGTCACTGTACCTATGCACAAATAGTTTGAGAGCTGGCATTAGCAAAAGGAAGCTTCTAATTCTTGACACTGTTTTGATGGCATGACCACTTTCTTTACATACACTCTCGGACTTTGCAGCAACTTCTGGAACCAGAAGTCAATACATCTGCACATCACTCTGTATGCACAGACCCTCTGAGCAGCAGGAGCTTTGTTTTTGATCAGTGTCTGGAGTCTCTGTTGCACAAAATGACCTATAACTTTTTGAGATTCTCGCTGCATGTTGATGTTGCCTTGAGACAGCTGTGCCAACTGCATTCAGGAAATTCAATGCTACAAATGGCTAATAGGTAGTCCTTACACAGCAGCTGATTTGTCAAATGTGAATTAGCATGAGCAATGAGGCTGACAGTTGCTATATTAGATGTTTTTTTTAAAACAATACAAACTAATGTGGTAATATGATTTGCTGTTGCTAACATTTCCCTTTTTTTTAAATGAATAGGTTCGATGCAGTGACAAAGTTCATATTCAAGTGGCACCAGGTTCTTACGCAGTGACAGCAAAATCCAAAATTTCAGAGAGACAGCAGACTCATGTCATACATTTGGGTCCAGATCAGACAATCAATCTTGCCTTTAATGTTTGAAGTATGTGCAATAAAACGTTGGATGGCTTGTGGCAATAACCAATGGCCCTGCATTTATTTTCATTAAGGGGTGTTTGGAATTTTGAATATCTATGCAATGGTCATCTTTTACAATTAAAATATTTTGTCCGAGCACTTGAAGACTGAGTGAAGCAACTCATTTTGAAGTGATGTTGCTTAATTCATTTGAATGTAATAGTTTTAAAACTGAACATATTTGAATTATATAATGTATTTTATATAATGGTCTTCATATGTGACAACTTTCGAGTTTTAATATAGCTGTTGTACTTTTAAAAAGCGAAGTGATTAATTTTCAATAAACTTGACCAATATTTTGTTTTTGTGAAAATAGTTACTATGTGACAGATGGATTGAATGTGCTCTTCTTAATGCCACAATCTGTGTATTTTGTATGGGAAAAGATGTTTATTTTCCTGCTCTTCGAATGTGTATTCCAATTTAAATATCAGCAGCAAGCTTTCATGAATTTTAAATTAAAGTTATTTATTCTCATATTATACCTAGAATTAATTCAGCCTCGTCCACTTAGTCACATAAGCACACAGGTTGGATGCAAATAAAGATATTATACTTTACAGCATACAGTTAATTTAGTCTCTGATTTACGATGAGTACTTTCCTACGAAATAGCTTAAGGTTTCTTGGAGAGAATCAATAATTTTAGTTGAAATGAAGGGTTCACAGCAGGTTGTGAAGTTCCTTGTAGTCAAATATCCAGGAGGTTGTTTCAAAATTCAGCTAAGAACCATGGACAGGTTAAGTACTTTGGCTGCTTGATGACTCGCAGCTAGTTTGAATCTAGTTGACAGGCCCATCAGCCAGTCTGAGAACAGCTCCTAGTTGATCTTGTAAACAAAGAAAACATTGCTGACTCACCATGTAGCTTTTTACAAGTTCAAGGTATTTTTCAAAATAAGGTGGTGTGTCATTCTGATTCCATATCTTGCATTGTAGGTTAACATGTCCGAGGCCTATCACCTCTATTTTTGGGTAGGAAAGCCTGTTGTGATACAATGGAATGGTGATAGTGGCTGCTGAATTTTGATATTCCCTTTTGTCTAGTGAGAAACATGGAGACAGGTAATTGTGTTGCAAGTTTATAATATGCTGTTGTTTGGGACCTTGGACTAAGAGGTTTATAAAATCATGAGGGGCAAAAATAAGGTGAATAGCAAAGGTCTTTTACCTATGGTTAGGAAATTCAAAACTAGAGGGCATAATTTTAAGGTGAGAAGAGAAAGATTTAAAAGGGCCCTGAGGAGCAACTTTTTCACACGGTGTTTCGTATGTGGAATGAACTGCCAGAGGAAGTGGTGGATGCAGGTAGTTACAACATTTAAAAGGCCTTTGAATAAGAAAGGTTTAGAGGGATATGGGATTAGTTTAGTTTGGGAAACTTGGTCAGTATAGATGAGTTGGATCAAAGGGTCTGTTTCTGTGCTGTATGAATGAATGGCTCTAAAGTAAATTGTAAATGGGATTTTGATTTTTTTCAGTGCTGTGAAAATCTGTCCTTTTTTTTTAAGAAAAGGATCCGAGGTCATTTTGGAACATTGAGCTTAAGATAGTCTTTCTTTGAAGTCATACTAAAGTCAAATGACACAACAAGCTACTTGATAACTGTTGGTTATTGTTGAATTGAGGCTTTTACGACCAGAAAAGGGGAGGCCACAATCAGGCTGGTTTCAGAAGAGTAGTGTCAGCCTAGCAGAAGGCAGTGTAGCTTTGGCTATTTTCAGGCCATCAGAACTGGAAAGAAGTGTTAAGCTGTTTGTCCTTGGCTTTTCTCAGGGTTCAGGTGAGGAAAAGCCAGTGAGTTGGCAAGAGAGAATCACAGCTGGTGAATGGCAAAAAGAAATGCTTATGAATTCATCAGTTGTGTAAGCAATTTTAAAAGAAAGTTACAAACGATGCTTCACTGGGATTGAGCGTCTATAAAAGATACTGCTGGTAAAACAATCTTGTTTATCATGAGTCCTTTCCAAATTCTTTCTTCGAAACATGTGAAATAGGAGCAGGAAGGGACAATGTGGCCTGCTCTGACATTCAGCAAGATCATGAGAGAGATTCAGTCTCTATACTATATTTGTGCTTTCTTCCCAAAACTCTTGATGCCTTTAAAATCTAAACTCGCTCTTTTTCTTGAATATATTCTGTGATTTGGCCTCCACAGCCTTCTGTGGTAGGGAATTCTGCAGGTTCATTATCTTTTAAATGAAAAATTTGTTTTTCTAAAAATCTGTCTTAAATGGTCCACCTTGTATCCTGAGACACTGTCCCTTGGTTCTAGACTCCACAACCAGGGAAACATCCTCCTTGCATTTAGTCTGTTCAGCCCTTTTCTTATACTATTTGTTTCCTTTTTCAAAAGTACATTAGCAGCCTGTTGTGAAAATGAACAGTGATCACTATTGTAACCAAACTGCAAAATTTAAATCTCATCGTTGTAAACCAAGTGAGATTTTACTCTGGAAAAGAACTTGTCCAGCATTACCATCTGGAATCTTAACACGATATGGGAATTGCACTGCCTCTCCATGAATTTCAGGGATGGGTGTGAGGTAACTTGTTCCATTTTCTAATGTATTTGCCAGAGACTTGATACCAATTTTATTCTAAGCCCTTGATCTGTGACAGCTATCATAATAGTCTGTGTTCACAAAGTTAATATGACCGGCTTGAAGCATGTTGTCATTACATGGCAATTTATTGCATTATGTTTTAGAAAGTTTCAGAAGAAAAGCTCTGTTAATAGATAAAAGGAATTTTTTTTGTTAAAAATTTTATTTATATTTGTCATTGTATCAGTGCCATTTCATACCTTTTAACTCAGTATTTTACAAGACTAAACTGTACTTGTATAGTGCGTTTAATGCAAAATAAAATGTCCCAGGATGCTTCAGAAAAGGTAAAGATTAAAAATGAATGTTGAATCAAAGACACAAATTAGGACTTAAGACCAAAAGTTTTGTGAATAACATTTAAAGTATTTTTAAAGGACGTGAAGGAGTTGGAGATGTACGCAGAAGTAAAGCAGAGAGTCATATCCAAGTACCTAAAGGTTGTCAATGATAGAACTTTGGAGAGGGCATAATAGATGAAGGCTAAGGTCAAGACTGTTTATGGGTCTGGAGGAGGTACTAGTTCTGAAGAATCAAGCCCATGGAGGGGTTTCGACATGAGGATGCACATTTTAAATTTGCGGTATTAGGATTGGTGTAGGTCAGTAGGGATAGATTATGGATGAGCAGAACTTGATGTGCAATCAAGAGCCAAGTACAGATTCTTAGTTGGGCTTAGGTTTATGGCAGATAAAGGTTGACCAGGAGAGCATTGAGTTTGGAGATGACTAACAGAATGATGTGGGTAACGATGGACTTCAGGAAGACATGTACAGATTGGTGATATGGGTAGACATAAGGCAGATGAAATTAACGTACAGAAATATGAAGTTATGCACTTTGGTAAGATACCATTCCAAAGGGCAAGGAGTAACCTATCTTAGGGTATATGTGTTTTTACTGTTACGATGAAAGGACAGAGGGTGAGAATGTTTTGAGGTGGTGTACAGGCTTCTGGGCTTTAGTACCACGTGCCTCTGTTTATAAAGCAACGAAATTATGGTGAACCTTTATAAAATGCTGGCTCGGCTTCAGCTGGCCAATTTTGTCTAAATCTGCAAACTGTGCTTTAGGAAAGATGTACAGATTAATCGCATCTGAAACCACCAGTTTAATGAGAACGGATCCCAGAAGAGAAACTTTGATTATGTGGATAAATAGGCAAAGCTGTTTTGCTATTCTGAAGGAAGGGAAGGTTGATAGGAGATTTTGGAACCATTTATAAACAGTGTGACAGCAGAGTAGATAAAGGCCAGGACAAAGCCACTTGTTTGGCACCACATCCGTAAGTATTCAATTCCTCCAACTTCCTCCTCTTCCAGCCCTGCCAAACTTGGGAAAGGCCATGCAAAGCCTACATGCCATGAATCCAAGGAGGAAAACAAAGCTAGTAGCTATTATCCATACTGAACTTTTAAGGGTTGAATAGTGGGGTGGTGTGGGGGGCGCAGTTCAAATTAAAAGAATTGTAGGTGTACTCTTTTGATGTTCTGATTCCAGTATATTCCCAATTATGTAATCCAAAGTAGAATGGCAACACCCTGCTAGCTCTCTGCAGTTTGGACTGACCAAGGTGCATAGCAACAATAGTTAGGTTAACTTAGGAACAAGATTTAAAAAGTCAGGAGTAAAGAAGAATAGAGAAATAAAAAAGAATCAAATTAAAAATGGGAAACAAAAAGCATTATGCCATGTCCCAGATACTTATGGGTTCTTGGAATTGCAAATGCATTTAGGCTCTGGAATGCTCAAAAGGAGCTGAGCTACAGTGGTGGTAACAAAGACTGAACCTGGTTGAATAGGTCTAAAATGATGAAACACACTGATTCTTTCTTCTTCCTGTCTCTCGTTCTTCAGTCAATTTCTCTGCTTCATGGAATCTTTCTGCTGCAATTCTATTGCGATCTTCCACTCGCTTCGTTCTAGCCTCCTACAAAGTATGAAGAATATACATGACAAGATCATTAATTCAGGTCCTTTCTTTTACTTCTTTTGGAAAAGGTAATCTAAGCAGCAGGAGAAGGTAGTTGGATGATCCAATATAAAGGTTGATTATGTGTAATAGAATGTGAAAATGCTCAATATTGTGGTCAATCAGCATCAACATCGCGTAATATTTTAATTTTCCACCTTGCTGTAATTGCTGACCTTTCTGTCCTTTGTCTCCTGCTTATGTTCAAATGAAGGTCAATGACTTCACTTGAAGGAGCAGCATTCTGAAAACTTGTGATTTCAAATAAACCTGTTGGACTGTAACCTGATGTCATGTGACTTCTGACTATGTTCAAATGAAGGTCAATGTGAGCTTGAGGGACAGCGTCTCATCTTTCAATTGGTCACCCTGCAGTCTTCTGAACTCTGTGTTGAGTCCAACAGTATCAAACCATGATTTCTGTCCCAATTGTTTTTGTTTTTCATTACAGACATAGGTTTTTATTTCTCTTATTTCTGCATTCTGCTGACAGCTGTTCGTCAACCTGCTATTCACATCTCCTTGAGACATGTACTGTACTTTGGTAACAAAAGAAGGGAAGAAACAATCTTGTTAGCCTTGCACCATCAACCCTTTTATTATTTAATTTTTTATCTTCCACTTTTCCAGACTTTTCCTTTTGTTCTTTTTCCTATTCTCCTCCATTTCATTTGATGAAAATACATAAGCAATAAAAGGTCATTGACATGAAATATTAATTGTTTCTATCAAAGGATGTTGCCTGACATGCGGAGTTTTGCTAGAGTTTACTGTTTTTATTTCAGATTTCCAGCATTCACAGTATTTTGCTTTATTGAGTGGTTCATGCACACCAGCGGGACAGACCGCAATAAATGACAGTGGTTCGCAATATTCTTGAGACAGAATGAATAAAAGAACACACAAAAGAATTACACCAATGATTTTCAATACTGTATGAACATTTTAAAGCTTGAGTGTTCTTCCTGAATATTGTATCTGTCCTATTAGTTAATCACAATCGGATCAGGTTTGTGCAGGTATGGAAATACTTAGAGCTGGATTGCAGCTTCCTTTGTGGGTAGTTGGCAGACTCTGCATTAGTGTAAAGGGCACCCACACTTTGCTCCACATATGTGAGGGCAGGAGAGTCGGGCACACCAACCTCAGTAGTAGATCATAGGTGGCCAAAAGGATAGGTGAGTCCCAAGGCTGCCATTGGTTCCAAATGATCCAGTTTTGCTGATGGAGCAAGAAACACAAACTCAGCAGTATCATTTGAAATAATGCTGTATTCCAGTGGTCTTAGTCTGCAGTGTGCAAGTCACAAATTTATGCAGCAGATGTAAGTGTTCCAGTAGGGTGGACAAAGTCTACTTAACTGTCATGATCATAGGTATTTTTAAATCCATAACCATTTAAACATTAGAAGAAGGTGGAATCTATCATTTAGATTTAAAAGAATGCTCTCAGATGGATTGTTTTGATTGGCAGACCTTGAAGTGTCAGTTAGGAAAAGTCGTAAGAATCTGATTTCGGTATTACTTTGCTAAGGTCTATTATTACAACTGAGGTCATTATGCATGTTAGGCTGAACTACACAAGCAAGTATTACAGCAAAGGGAGCTGAGTTCACAATTTTCTGATCAGTTTGAAGAAGCTATTAAAGGAGTAACTGCCTTTGCTAGGTCACTGAATAGAACTGTGTTTACAACAGATTGAACACTTGAAGGAACTTCTTACCTTTGAACTGGTTTAACGAATAGGAGTTTCTTCAGTATCAAGTGTTTGGAAGTGAGAACTGTATGAGAAATTGTTAAAAGTTTATTTGTAATATCCACGAGGTCTGCATACGATGGGTACTGGTAAGTGACTTTGGAAGTAGCACAGGGGTATGAGATGGTGTGGAGGAGGCATAGATAGGAGCATGTATTGGCATGGAGGGTGAATGGAGATCCAAGGAGGTGAGGGGCAGGTTTCCTATATAGAGACTGGTAGGAGTCTGGATCGTGCTGCAAGGGATGCTGGTGGAGGCAGAAACAATAGGGACATTTAAGGGACTTTTAGATAAGCACATGAACATGCAAGGAATGGAGGGATATGGACCAAGGGCAGGCAGAAGGGATTATGGCATCATGTTCAGCATAACATCATGGGCTGGAAGGCTCATTCCTGTGCTGTACAGTTCTATGTTCTATGAGACAGTCCATTACCACCTTATCAGGTGCCATTGGGAATGGGCAACAAATTCTAGTCTTGCCAGTGAAACTCATATTGCATGAATGAATAAGAGTGAAACAGTTGCAAGTAAAATAAAAACTACCTAATCTGAGCTTATGATAAGGGGAAGTCTTTGATCAAGCAAATGAAAATGGTTAGACCTAGGATACTGCCCTAGAAAACTCCTGCAGCAGTGTCCTGGGGTTGCAGTGGTCGACCACCAACAACAACCACAATTATCTTGCTGTGAGATTCCCCTCTGATTCAATGGACTTCAATTTTATGTGCTGTTTGGATTTACATGAGTCAAATGAGGCTTCCCCATGGTTATTCATGTTTCACTTCTAGGAATTCAGCTCTTTTGTCCACATTTGGACCACAGCTGGAATCAAGTTGGGTAGAGTGGCCTTGATAGAGTTCAAACAGCATCAATGATCAAGCTATTAGTGAGTAAGTGCCACTCAACTGCATTGTCAATGACCCTTTGAATTATTTCACTGATTATTGAGAATTGACTGATGAGACATATTAAATTTGTCTTGATATTTGTCAACAACATGTACGTGGGAAATCTTCCCCACTGTTAGGTTGATACCAATGCTGTCTCTATGCTGAAGGCGCTCGGCTAGAAGCAGTTTGATATGAAGTACATCTCTATAGTATGATAGCCTGAATACTGTTGGAGGCCATATACTTTATGCTGTCCACTGCTTTCAGCTGTTTCAAAGTCTTGACTACAGACAGTACCTCCAACAACGCAGCACTTCAACTCTACATCTAAGTATCTACCTAGTTTATGAGCTAAAAATCATTGACAAATCTAGAATTTACAATGTTGAAAATCAAAAGAAAAATATTCATATTACACGATCCTGAATGTGGTACATTACACCACAATCTATTGCATTATATATCTCCTTCCCAAACTAACAAAAAACGCTAAGTAATGAGGAAAGATTGGAAATGTCAGGAGGAGATTATAGAAGACCTAAGAAAGATTTTCATGATGAAGAGACATTTTGATAGAGGTATACTTTACAGTGCGATGGTCAATAACCAAGGATCATGGATTCAAAATCATTGGAAAAAATCCAAAGAAGAAAATAAAAAATGATATTTTCATTCAGACAGGCTTTAGTATGTAGAACATTCTGCAACGGTAAAGGAAACTGATCCCATAAATAATTTGAAAAAAAAGCTGGACAGTTACTTGAGATTAAGGAACTTATAGGATTATAATCAAAATGTAGAGATGTAGAACTAAGATGACTGTTCTCTTTAACAGCTAGGACAGACGTCATTAGCTAAACAATCTCCTATACTGTAAATTTCTGATTCCTACAAAGTCATGGTACCAAAAACAAAGTTGCTGGAAAAGCTCAGCAGGTCTGGCAGCATCTGTGAAGAAGAAAACCAGTGTTAACGTTTCGGGTCCGGTGACTCTTCCTCAGAACTGGTCATGGTACCGTTGGTTGTCTGGAAAGTTATGACTCTTAGCACCTATGTAGAATAAGTGGCTCAAGTGTGATTCTGTGGTAGTTCTCAGTGTTGGACTCCCTCTAGGTCAGAATATCATGGATTTAAATTGCACTCACACCACATGAGCCCAAAATCTTTGCTGACACTCAAGTGAAATGTTGAGGAGTGGTACACTATTGGATGTGATGTCTTTTGTGTGGAAGTAAAACTGAGGGCGTGTTTGATAACCCAATGGTACTTATTGAAAAAGAGCAGGACAGGTTTGGTGATTTAGTGAATATTTATTTATCAATTAACATCACCAATAAAATAGATTGGGGTGCATATTTCATTACTGTTTGTGGGAGCACATATTGACTGTCCATTGACCATATTTCAATAAGTATATGATCTTCCTTGAAGCTTTAGAAAGATGTTCTTTCATTCTAAGTGTTTCACTTTCCAAGAAATAATCTCCTCAGTAATTTACCTGCTGCTGGATTTCTTTCATCTCTTCTGCTTTCACTTTTTCTGCCTCTGACAGATTCTTCCTTGCTGTCACTTGCTGGTGGTATGCCAATCTGCGAGCTTCTCTCTCCTTGTCCTCTGAGGCTATTGACTGGATCCTGGTTTGAATCTTCTGCTGTAAATGTTGCTTTGCTCTGTTTGTTTCTTCCAGCTTGTGCTCACATTCTGCTACCTGTTTGAAATTATTCTCCAAACGCTGAATTACTTTCTTCCTAAAAAGGGAAGCAGGTCAGTATCATGCTGAAAGGTTGTGAAAAAAAGTGTAACAGCTGAAAAGAAAGTCATGTTTTACTATTGAATTGTCTGTATAGTGTGGACCAAGGACAACAGTTTGCTACTCTCAATATATGTACCAAAGTGTGAGTTAGAGATTTGCAATGTGTGTCCCTTTCTATTGATTAATAATCAGCTATGTAGTATGTTAGGTATTGGGCCACAGATTCATACAGTTGGATTTCAATTCAATCCAGAATAATGAGATGAAAGTTTTACTCTGTTGATTGTTAGGACTTCACATACAATAAGCAAATGAGCCCCCAGTAGGCACTAATTCATATTAGATAATACATCACAATTATTCTGAGATAGTTATTCTGACCATCTGGTTTGGAAAATAGAAATATTCACACTGATGCACTTAGAGTTCTGAAACTGGGACACATTTAGAGTTTTCTTCTTCTTAGGCTGTCCCTCAGGACCATCCCTCAGGATGACTTTCTTCCGCTGCAGTATTGTGGATCCTGATGTTACTAAATAGTTTAATACTGGATTCATAAACCCTGCCTCAGGTGGTGTTTAAAGAAGTGGGTGGGTGCAATTCTAAGTGTTTTGCCCACTCCTTTCAATGTCTACACTTGATGTTCATCTAGGCCTGTTAGAGACGTTCAATATTGGCTCAGGTTTGGCAATTGCAATGTTGTTGAAACTGCCAGTATGCAGCTTCAGCCCTCTTCTGAAACTGATGATTTCTAGAGTTAAATATTAAAGCATAGAAGTTGTTGTCCGTGATTCTAAGCTTCTCCATCGCTGTTGAGATAGCCCCAGATGGCAGTCATTAGGAAATTAGAGTGACCCACATCTAAGTCTCATTACGGCCTTGGCTCAAACATGGAAAAAATTGTTGAATCCCAGAGGTAAGATTGACAGTGATTTCCTTTGATGCTGAAAGACATTATAAAATTGGAGAAGGTTCAGAAAAGATTTACCAGGACGTTGCCAGGACTGGAGGGTTTGAGTTACTTGATTCGTCACCTCATCTGCTACATTAAACATCATCCAAGAGCAGCAGTGTATTTGATTTACAAGATGCACTGCAGCAAATTACCAAGGCTCCTTCAACAGCACCTTCTAAATCTATAACCTCTACTGCCTAGATGGATGAGACCAGGGGAAGCATAGCAACACCACCACTTACAACCTCTTCTCTTAGTCACACACAATCCTGACTTGGATCTAAAAGAGGAATTTTCCCCCTCCCTGGAGATGGCAACAAAGGAGCAAAAGGCAAAGGCAACCTCACCATTACAATCTGGGTGATAAGGTCAGTTGGGAACTGTCTTAACCTGTCAACAATTATAGTTATGTAATTAGACCATTAAGTGGCCTGTAATGGGCCTTTATATAAGCAAGGGCATGGGGTGGTTTACAGAGGCCACCCACATGCCATCCGTGCATGCCTCTGATTGACCCCAGATTGGGGTAACTGAATTACCCTCAACACAGCAGGCATGTTGTACTGGTTACCTGGTCAGGACAATAGCCACCTTTCTCACATGATGGAAAGGCAAGTAATCAGGAGGTGGTGAGTTCAGGACCTTAACCGGCCAATTATTCCCAGCTTACCTGCGTTGTTCTTGAATATGTTGATACTTGTCTTCATTTTGTTCTTCTCTCTCTCTTTCCCATTGACGCATTTGTAGTTTTTTCTTTCTTGATCTTTGAACTGCTTTCTCATGTTGGCAGTCATGTGATAACTGATTCTCTCCCAGGCGCTCCTGAATTGGTGGAGGCTGGGCCTAGTTGTTGATATTAAAAATGACATTTTCATCAACATGAATACTTTTGCCAGTCAGATTATTCATGGGGAAATTGCTGGTACCTGGTTATATAGTTAGTACACAGCTTTCTGTCCAAGTGACTTCAATATATTTGCCAAGAAATTAAAACCAGATACAGATGGTTTGTTATTCTTCATTATGATTGGATTGCTGGAGATTTATGGATTATTAAAGCTGACTGATTCTAAGAATTATGTTTGAGTAGTTAATCTAGTGCTCAATGGACACCAATGTATATCATAACATTAGACGTAAGTGATGACCAAAGGAAATGACGTGGTAGATGAAAATATTATAGTTGCTCATTAGGATGTTCTCTCCTGAAACTGGTTTACCCCAGTTGGGGAAACAAAACGCAGATTGGATTACTACTTCGCAGAACACTTCTGTTCTGTCCGCAAAAATGACCCTGAGCTTCCAGTTGCCACTTCAACACACTACCATGTTCTCTGGCCAACATCTCTGTCTCAGGCTTACTGCAGTGCTCCAGCAAAGATAAGCACAAGCTGGAAGAAGAGCAGCTCATTTCCCGCTTGCGAACCTCGTAGCCTTCTGGACTTAATATCAAGTTTAACAGTTTTAGGACTTGAGCACCTTTACCCATGGCATCACATGGGCTGCTTCCACACACGACCCATTGTCAGCCATTAATAGTCACCATCAGCAACTACTCAATCCCCCAAATTGACCTATAACCACTCCTTTGTCTATCCACTTGTTTTTCTCCTCTTTGGGCTCTATCTCCATTTTTTGTTTAATCTCCCCCAACCCCATCTTCTGTATAAAAAAAACAACCATTTCTTAGCTACCACCAATTCTGAACATTAACTCTGTTTTCTCTCCACAGATGCTGCCAGACCTGCTGAGATTTTCCATCAATTTCTGTTTTCATTTCAGATTTCCAGCATCTGCAGTTTTTTTTCAGTTTTTTTTGTCTGGATTACCCCACAGTTGAAGAAGTGTGCAAGGCATTATTATGTATTCAGTCATGCTGTACTTGACAGGAGATGACTTTCCATCTTTTCAGCAGTGAAAGATAAGGAGGGAGGGAGGTTTATGGGATGGGACAGCTGCAAACAAGGGCAATATAAATGGAAGATATTCCCAATGTATACAGCACATTTGAGAAAGCAAAATAGAAGTCATGCTTCAGGTAGAAGTTGTAAACTGTTAAGGGAAATCATGAAGAATTTATAACATAAAACACAACAATTGTGTGAAATTGCTCACAATTTTGTAGATCAATCATTTAAGGTTTACCCTGGCTGCTGATGTGATTTCATGATCTTGATGTGTTAGAACCTGTTTCATTGTGATTCTGTTCAGAGGATGCGTACAATCAACATTTTCAAACACGGCTGTGCAATTTGTTGGTCCAAGGTTCTGCAGCTCCATGGAAGAATTCAGCTGACTGGAGTTAGAAAAGTTCTTTAATAGACTTGAAGATGATGTTCCTGCAAGAGGAAATGTTTTATTCAGCACGGTGGTGAAGGATCCAAGGCAGGCCAATGTCACTGTTCTGCTGGCATTGCAAAAAGAGTCCATTTCTCCCTTCCCTAGCACTACCAATCATCAACAACTACTTCACTTGGACATCTCTGATGTTCCAGCTGAGATTGCAAACACATTCTTTGCAGTAGGAGGCATTTGCAGAGATATTTTAAAATTTTAAGATGGATGATAAAACTCAAAATGCATACAATCCAGGATTAAAGTAATTTTCATGCAATACTTGAATTTATATTGCATATCAATGCACTGTCTAAAATTTTTGTACACAATAATTAGTAATTATTATAATTTAATCAAACAAACTAGTTCTTCCAACAGTTAGCAAATACATAACCTGCACATTTTGCTATTTGGTGCTATTTGTTGCAAGATAAAGCACTAGTCATAACTCTGCGGAATGCCCTGCTTTTCATGTATTACAATGGTACTATTAATATTCACCCATACAAGAGCTGGTGGCCAGGTTCAAGGTATCATTCAGAGTCAAGACTTGCAATAATTTCCCCAATATTCCTCTGGAGTGGTTAGGCTATGAACTCAAATGTTTCAGGTTTTTTTAAAAGAAAAGCACCAGATTTCACAAAGCAAACCAAATATCAATACTAAGTGCATGTATTGTAAGTTATGTATCACTATAGCTGTTTATACATAAACATACATTACATAGTGTGGATTGTTTTTATAGTATGTTCTGTGTCTTTTTGTAGTAACAAACGCTGGCACTATTACAGTACCAGGCACATATCTTGCATTTTCAGATCAGGTTCTTTGTCAATATTATTGTTACTCACTCTATTATCTTGTGAGCTCCCACCATCATTATCAAGGCATACACTAAGCAATGCTGCTCACAGCTCAAAGGTCTAGATTAGAACAAATGTTTCACAAAATATCGTAACATATGAAGCTCTAACAAAAACAGATTAACTCTTTTGGAAAACAGTATACATTTAAAAGTAGTTTGGTTTTAATTGTAGAATGTATCAAAGATGTTGACAGTAAGTACAAAAGCATGAATAAATTACCACAGAGAATATGATGACTGTAGTGCTATAGGGACCCAAGCGATGTCATTTGAACAATGCAATGTGTTTACTTATGGCTGAATATTAGGTTGATACACTAAAGTTTTATTTCAATTAATTTGGACCAGGGCATATTTCACACAGTTTCTTTGCCATTTTAAACAGTTATTTAACTGTCATAGTGTATTAAATGAAGGATGATCCAGTAACAGTACAAAATATAAATGAATGTAAAGGAGTGGCCTTGTATGCTTTAATACTCTGACACCACTTTGTGCTATTTTAGTATGCTGTATAAGTGCTAGTCTAATCCTTTAGTGGCCTAATAGTTTTATTTTGCAGGCAACAAGTGTATTTAAAATACTGCTGACCAGATAATATATTTTTTTGTTCAGTCCAACGCTTTCAGAAATAAAACCACAAATTGAATCGTAGTGAACATGGCTTCAAGAATTTAAAAACCCATATACACAGCAGCTAACTGATTTGTCCATTAATCAAGGCCTTTGTTTTTTCTCCTTGTGTGATGAAAGTTTATAACATACTATTATCATTTGGGAACTTGGATTTGAAAGTGGAGGGCAGCATAGGTTGGAGAGAGAAAAGCTTAGAATAAAGGAAGAAATCAGAACTAATACCTCGGAGGATGATTCTATTTCCAATGAGGGATTCCATTTAACTAGAAGCCTGTGTTTAGTGGCTAACTTTATAAAGGATAGACTAGAAAGATATTTCATCACATTTGAATTTAAAGCTGGGAAGATGAATTGTCAAAAAATATGATCTTTGAAAACATAAATGTAAAGGATGAAAATAGAGAGTTTGAGGCTGACATATTTAGCCTCTACATTTTAAAAGAAATGTAACAGATGTATCCTGAGAGAGTCGTACCAAGCAACCTATTCAGAAATTGAGTCAGAACAAATACCAGGGTGTTATTATTTAAAAGACGAAGTGTTAGTGAAGAAATTAGGTCATCTCAAATACCAGCCAAATGAGGAATGGGCAGTAGTTCGTCAAGTGGTAGTCCCACCTGAGTATGCTCAACAAAATGTGAAAACTAGAACAGTTAATAAGGCCAAAGCTCCATATAATGTCTTAACAGATAATTGTTTCCGGGGAACAATTTAAAGCAAGATTCACTAGACCTTTTGAAATTAAAAAGAAACTTAAAATGAATAATGTAATTAGCACTCTGGACAGGAGAGAAAACCAGTGAGTGTTTCATGTTAAGATGTTAGAGCAATACTATTACAGGGAGGACAGTCAGAACAGAGGTGTGTTAACAATGGCAAAAGAAATAGGAAGTGAAATAAAAAGAGCAGAATAGATCAAGAATAAACCAGAAATTGAAAATTCAAAAATCGACCTTCCAGTAATCAGATTGGATAATGCAGAGATGCATAAAAGTTATACAGAATATTATGCTGTCTCCCACCAAAACGATTGAAGTCAAGAAAAATAACAGACTACACATTAAGTTAATATAGGGGATGGATTACCCACATAAAACAACATCCATACAGACTCAACTCTGAAGGTATCTCAAATGAGGGGAGAAATTAAGTTTATGATGGACAATTACATTATTAAACTGAGTCACAGTAGCTAGAACAAACCAGATGGATCACAAAGATTGTGTATTAATTATCACAAAGTCAACATGGTAACAAAGGCAAATTGATATCTGATTCCATGATTGCAAGTTTGTGTTGAGGAAATTAGACAACTGCGATTTGATGCAAAAAAAACTTCTAAAATGGACGTTATCAAGTTCCAGTTACTGATACAGCCAAATAAATATCAGCTTTTGTCTGGATGGACTTTATCAATGTACAGTCATGCCAATTGTAATGAAAAGTACACCAGCAATTTTTCAATGATTAACTAGTAGAGTGACCAAAGGAATTTGCAACAGTGTTGCTTAGATTGACCATTTGGTTGTGTTAAGCCAAATTTAGGTAGAACATTTACACTACTAGAACAAACTTTTTGATCAGTTACAAATAACCAATTTGGTCATAAATTTGGCCTACTTATGAAATTGCCAAAGGAAGAGTAACTTACTTGGGCTACACTGGGGGCAAGTCTGTATTGCACTGACAGAAGTAAAGACAATGGTTATGTTAGATTTTCCAATACACAAGGCAAAATGTTAAATTCTGTGATATATTGGCACTAGTAGATTTTATTTGAAGTTCGTTGTGAGTTTCAGCACTGTAGTGGCCCCCTTTACAAACTTGTTAAAGAAAGATATTTGCTGACACTGCAGACCATGTGTTTATTTTGTGTAATAAACTTGTATTCTTTTGTTAAAAGTACTTTGGCAGTTTTGTGTAGGGCTTTGTTTAATTATTCACCATGGTAACCAAAACTTCTAATTTGTCAAGCCCATCACTTTGTGATCTGATTTGCCCACTAGTTCAGTCAGCTGGATTCATAATAATTGGACTTTATTTATTTCACTGCTGTATCTTCAATAGAAATTTGGCAGAATCTCCATTTATAACAGAAGGCAAAGTACTTTACCTGGTTTCTTTCGATGTGGCTCTTGGTGGGTCTGACTCCAATATTTCCATTCTGGCCTGTCTTCTACTTGGGTCCTTGGTTTTTCCAACAGTTTAAAATCTGTATTCACCGCCCTGTCTTCCAAAGTAGGCTTGCTGACAATTAACACTGGGCTGTTATCGGAACCTTCAGATGATGAAGAAGATGATGAAGAAAGTATGTTTTCATCAAGATTTTTAGGTTTAGAAACATCTAATTCCTGAAGCTGTGAAGTAATTTTCTTGTCCAACTCCTCAATGTCAATTGCTGTTGATTTGGTAGATCTTGGAGTTACAGGCCACCATCCAATTGGAGAAATCATTTGTGGAAAACAGTAACACACAGAATGAGATGGCAAACCATGGAAGCCACAATAAAACCCATGGCAGAAATTATCGTATGGGTCGAGGTCAGGGAGAACTGAATATCCAGACTTGATGTATGTTGGTTCAAAGTGGTTTGGGTGAACCAGCATAGTCTGAGGCTTATATGGACAAACGTCATTGCAGGAACTCAATTCTTCACAATGAAGCTGTCTGGCTGATACAGGAGTAAGCAGTTCTTTCTGCACTCTTTCATACAAAGCAGATGGAATCCACATTGCCACATTTTTGGAAACTTTGACTGTTTTTCCATTCCAGAATTTAATAGAGAGATCGTCATCTTCCATTACTGTTTAATTAAAAGGACAAAAAGGTTTTTATTCTGGAAGTATACTTTTAACATTAAAATATTTCACTTATCGTACTACAAGAAGAATAATATAGTTCATCAAATTTTATCTGTCAGTCTGTTTATCAATAATTAATTAATTTAATTGTATTCCAAAACTTCAGATATATAGAACAGTTTTGGAGTTGTGGCTACATTGAAACTAAAGATTTTCTATAACTCTGAAATATCCCAAAATCTAAAACTTACACAGTAAAATAATTGAAAAGTTTATTCCAGTGAAAAATGCTTTTGGATAAAGTAAGTATCATATCAAGTAAATATATTAAAGAAAATGATACAGTACAGAATAACAAGCACTAGATTAAAGCAACACTACAGAAACCTATGGGAAGTTGAAAAGTGTTATTTTAAAATGGAATTCACTGCAGTGTTCGTAATTATAAGGTCCTTCTGTGATTGAATAATTCAAAACAATTAGCAATGCCATTGATAGGCAACATGATTCAACTGACAATCAGAAAAATAAAAGTCAATGGGGATGTCTGGTTTAATCCTTCAAATAATGTTTGTCAGGTGCACGCACATGCATTCACACATAAAGGCTGTGCAGCGAATCCTTTTATACTGAGTGAAGGGTCCCAGGATGTTATTATGACAATTCTGGCTGGATTTCCATTGTTAAAACAGAGACCTCTGCACATCCAGAGCCAGATACACACTCCAACCCTTAACTTCACCCTGCTCTGGATTTTACCCCGGCTCTTGCCTCCTCCTTTTTCTTAATTGGCCTCTTGTCTTTGGCTTTTTTGGATAATGTTGAATGGGTCCAACTAGTCAAAGTGTTTGGTGACAGTGGAGTCAAAAGTCTGCTGTACATTAACTCTGGGAACAGCCAGAATGACTGCTCATCAACCTCCAATCAGAGGTTCCCTCCCTGTCACCCTAATTGTTCCTCCAATCATAGATTGTCTTTGAAAGAACATTAAAACATAAGAAATAGGAGCAGGAATAGGTCATTCAGCCTTTCAAGCTTGCCCTGCCATTATATAAGATCATGGTTGATCTTCCCCAGGTCTCAACTCCTCTTTCATGCCACTCCTCATATCCCTCAATCCCTTGATATTTCAAAAATCTACCTACCTCCTCTTTAAATACTTGCTGTGATCTGACTTCCACAAATCTCTGAAGTAGAGAATTCCAGACATTCACTACCCTCTGAGGGAAGAAATTCCTTTGCATCTCAGCTTTAAATGAGTGTTCCTTATTCTGTAACTACTTCCCTTTGTTTCTGATTTCCCCATGTGCAGAAACATCTCAAATTCTATCCTGTCAAATCCCCTCAGAATCTTGCATGTTTCAATAAAATCATTCCTCATTCTTTTAAATTCTCATGAATAAAGGCCTAACCTGTTTAACCATTGTTGACAAGTCAACCCTTTCATTAGATTAGTGAACCTCTTTTGAACTAGACCCAACGTTAATATATCCCTTATTAAATACAAGAAATACAAGAGCAGATCGATGGGGAGAGAGGAAACCTGTGATTGGATGAGCTGGAACAGTCAGCATTGTAGAGACAGTGCGATTGGAGGAGCAGCTCTGTCTTTCATGTCTTTGCTGCTTCTCCAGTCACTGCTCTCCAGTCAGTTCCGACTCCCAGAAACTGTCAATTTCACTGACAGTTAACATTCATTTTAAACAAAATCTGATATTTTTTAAAGTCCACTGGAAAGCCATGAAGCTATCTGAAGGTTGGGAGCAATGTTTTCTGCTCATATCAACTGTCAGTTCCAAATTCTTTTTAAAGTCAGTCTTTCAAGAGGTTACCCATATATGCCCAACATCATCAAATCAATTTGTACTGCATCATAGCCTCTCCAGTCCAGAAGTCCAAAGTCTGAAAACACCACTTGTCCACAATTGTTTTGGGCTGATCCAGCAACTCGACTGTTCAGGCACTGCAACAAATCTACAAAGCATGGGCTCACCTGATCTTTGGACGGAGGGTAGAAAATGGTGGCTGATGGGGGGAACGTGGTTACTGTGCAGTGAGGGAAAACTTAAGGCAAGGTTACAATGCCACCCAATTTCCCTCTCTACGTTGCCTCTTTGTCTTGCTATCAGTCTATTTCTCCATCTCCCCCTGCCCCTGTTTTTCAATTTTCTTCACAATCTCTTTCTTTGTCTCTGTCAGCTGACTCATCCCTTCTTTCTCTTTTCCTCTCTATAGGTTTATTTCACAATTTCTCTTTCTATCTTGGTTTCTCTCTCAATATCTTTCTCTCTCTCTGTCTGTGCCTCTCTTTCTTTCTGTCTTGCAAATTCTTTACAAATGTCCCACCTCCTCTTTTGCAGTGAGTTTCTTAACAGACCGAAGCAATTGCAAGGTAGAGTTTGCTTTTAAAATCTTTATCATAGAATCTGAGAAATGTGCAGCAAAATGTAAGATATTACACTTACAATGTTGGTTAAGTTGGAAATCATAAAGAATCTATATGTGTTCTTCTTTTGGAAAAACTTTGTGAATCATATTGTGTGTGTATCCCAACACCTCTACGAAATCAAGAAATGGCATGAATATGTGGGAGATAGTGTTTGGTTGAGTGAATAAATATTTATTACTACTTTCTAATGTTTCATCACTGTTACATGTTTCAAGTAAGTATTTATACCCACAGCGTTTTCCAAATCACAGAATCCCTACGGTGTAGAAACCGGCCATTCAGCCCAACAAGTCCATACCAACTCTCTGAAGAGTATCCCACCCAGACCCCACCCCCTACCCCATGGCTAACACACCTAAACTATACAGCCCTGAACACTATGGGCAATTTAGCATGGCCAATCCACCTAACCTGCATATCTTCGGACTGTGGGAGGAAACCAGAGCACCCAGCAGAAACTTACACGGACACGGGAGAATGTGCAAACTCCACACAGACAGTTGTCCAAAGATGGAATCAAACCCGAGTCCCTGGCACTGTGAGGCAGCAGTGTTAACCACTGAGCCACCATGCCACTCTGTATACTTGTTGTTTGACATTCTAATATCATTTTCTAATTTAGCAATTTTCAAAATCCAAAAGAATGCTTGGTTCTAAGCATTCCAGACTGGAGAGGTTAAAGTGTATTAGCAAATATATCGCCAAACCATTGCCCACTGCTAGGCAGCTGCAAGTGTTATTTTGACATAGGAAAGGAATAAATGAATTTCTTATACAAATATAGAAATTTTTTTCTTATCAAATATTACATATTTACATTTTTATGACAGAACAGCTGACTTAGCAGTGGCTTAAGCAATACTCTTCCAGATCTTTTGATCACAATGACACTGAGAATGTCATATAAAACAGGTTGTCAATCTGCTATCAGCCCATTAGCAGGTTGCATCTTTTAGGAGTCTAAATGGGTTTCCAGTTTGCAACTGTTGAATTCAAATGAAAAAATGATCCAATAAGCTCCAATCAAAAAGAAACTACATAAATATACAAATATATATTTAAATTGAAGTTCATACCTTGTAGTGGATCTCTGGTCTCAATGCCAAATGCCACTGTTCCAGGACCATATCTGGTTTCATCTGGTTCCCAAGGTGCTAATACTTTATCACCTGAGAGCACAGAATGCCTCATGGCCTCGTTGTACAGAATTATATCATGCAGTGCAGTCTTCTGCACAGAGACTTGCCACTTCTCTCTTGGATCTTTAGTAGATTTGTCAAACTCAACCAGGAACAATCCTTTCCCTACCTGGCAACAAAAGGAGAAAATATTTTGCAAAACCTCTTTTTCTTTTCATGTATATAGCTTACATCTTGGGTCTAATGTTTACTCCATGAAAGTGGATGGTCTTGAATGGGCTAAAACCTTGTTCTTTGTTGTAGTGTGCCTGCTGTGTATGTGATGTAAAGTATAGATATGCAAACAGTCTATAACAACAACAGTAATGTGTATGTATAGTATATTTATATTTAATATAGCAAAATATCTCAAAGCATTTCAAAGGCATTATGAAACAAAATTTGACCGTGACCCATATCAGGAGATGTTGCGGGGGGTAGATGATCAAAAGCTTGGTCATAGAGTTAGGATTTAAGTAGGGCCTTAAAAGGAGGAGAGAGGCAAAGAGGTGAAGAGATGTAGACCAGGTATTTCAGAGCTTAGGGATTTGACAGCTGAAGACATGGCCACCAATGGTAGGAGGTAAATAAGAGGACAGTATTGGGGACTGCAAATATCTCAATGGAAGTAGAGCTGGGGAAAGATTATAGAGGTAAGAAGGAGTTACGTTATGAAGGGATTTGAAAAAAATGACAGCTTTAAATTTAAGGCCTTGCTTAATCACAAATTAATGTAGCTTAGAGGACTGAGGAATAATGGATAAAACAGGTTTACTGTAGATGAGTACATTAATTTACTTCACCATGAAGTAGTATAGATAAGTCCAAGATTTCTACAAATGTTGCTTCCTTCTCACAAAACCACTCATGTATGAAGGTTTAGTGCTATGTTAACTTGGGTCAGAAAGGTACAAGTAAGTGACAATGCTAGCTACTTTAGCCAGTGAAAGGGTACAACATATCCAAACCATCCTCCCCAGAAAAGCCATCCTTCCTTCAGTTATTATACTGTTCACTTAAGACTATCAGTGCTAACAGCTTCAGTGAAGCTATGCTCCTGTAGCTGTAAGTATCACCTGAGTAGGGAATTCTGACATGGAAGAAGTTACACTTCAACCCATTCCTCTTCTCAGTCATTATTTATACAAACCTTCTCTGCAAGAATCACTGGATAGCAATGGGGAGCATTTGCTTTCTGATCCCCTTTGATCAGGGCTCCTAGAGTTAATAACAATATAGATCAATGCCTCATGGCCTCATTGTACAGAATTCAATGGCTCAGAAAAACCAACTCAGCAATTTATTTGAATGATGAAACATTTTTGATAGGTACAACCAACAAATAAACAACACTTTAAGCTGCACATATTGTATACATTTCCCATGAGAGAAGTTTCATTTATTATACTTACATCAAGGTTGGTGCAGTACTTTTCACTTTTATTATTCCACGTTATTGAAAAGTATTCATTTACAAAATTTGTCTCACCTAACCATAGTAGACAGATAGTGATGCTGGGTTTAATACTGCCCCTGCTTAAGTCAGAATAGCACATGAAAGTGAAAATGAGAGCCAATGATACCCTTTTCACTCTCCTCCACAGAACAACCATCTTTCCTACAAGCGCACACAGCATTCTACAGCTCAATCATTTTCACCAAAAACCACAACTGATTACTGCCATGTGCTTCACCAAAAACACAGTGCCAGATTTTCCAGAGATCACACTCAAATGTTGAAATCAATATCAGTTTGGAGGTGGTGTAGTAGTGGCTATGTCATAGGACTAACAATCCCATGAACCCCACCATTCAGATGGTGAGATTTAAATTCAATGAAATCTGGAATAAAGAACCGATCTAATGACAACCAGATAGATTGTCGTAAAAAGAAAAATCCATCTGGTTCACTAATGCCTGTTAGAGAGGGAAATCTGTCTGGCCTACACGTGACTCCAAACCCACAATAATGTGGTTGACTCTGAACTGCTCTCTGAGCAAATAGGGATGGGCAATAAATGCTGGCCTAGCCAGCAATGCCCATATCCTATGAATGAGTAAAAGTTGATACCAATGAAATTGGGATGGTTATTATTAAGTTGGTATAATTTAAAATATGTGGTTGAACAAATAGCTTTGCAAGGAATGTGATAGACTAAAATAAACCTTACTCCTATTTCAATAAACAATATAATTTACCTCCACTTCTTGCTTGATTGTGCCATGGTAATAGAATCCATCAGACTCTCGTCTTGCTAGGACAGAGGCTCCAAGAATTAATTGACTTGATGCAAGAGGTCTGGCCCATGGATGAATACATTTGCAGATACTATTGAGAAAATTGTTAGTGCACTACCCTAAATTAATTTTGATAAATGCAAACAGTGTTTAAATTTTGTTTTGAGGAAAGCAGGAAGCAGAATAATTAATTGCGTTATGTAAACAGCTTGTTTCAAGGTAATAATACATAGAATCATAGAATGCATAGAATCTCCACAGTGCAGATAGAGGCCTTTCAGCCCATCGAGTCTGCACAAACTCTCTGAAGAGTATTCTATCCCCATAACCCCATATTTACCATAGTTAACCCACCTAGACTCTGCAATCCTGGACACAATGGGGCAATTTAGCCTGGCCAATCCACACCTTTGGACTGTGGGAGGAAACTGGGGCACCTGGAAGAAACCCATGCAGCCATGGGAAGAATGTGCAAACTCCATACAGACAATCACCCAAGGCCCAATAGAAATAAGAACAAGACCATAATGGGGAGGACATCTGGTGCAATTTAGAATGAGAAAAGGGATTAGAGCTTATGATAACAAAAGTGAAGAATCTGTAGTAGAATGTATTGAGATTCATTAGTTCCAATTTGAAAGTCAACACTCTAATAAACCTAATTATTTAATAAAAGGATTTATCATAGAATCATGTGACATCATCCAAAGCAATGTAATTGCACGCTTATTTAGCATTTCAGTGAAATAGAAAACAATGTGCTTCTAAAGATTAAATAAGTCTTAGTAGTCTATGATGAATAAAAGAATGAACTATGCAAGTCTGAATTCAGGAGATGTTATATCAGACTCAAAATATTTCTCTTCCCATAGATGCTGCCAGGACTGATGAGCTTCTCCAGCACTTGCTGTTGTTGCTTCAGATCTCTAGCATCCACAATACTTTGGTTTATTTGATTAAGTCTGTTCAACCTGCAAACAATTCCCCCAAATAATCTCTCCAGCTAACAAAGCATGCTTTAACAGCTGAGTCTTAATATTAAAACTCACACTTGAAAGTTACATTTAGCTCAAAATCTTTTCCCTTGAGGCTTTGCTGTCTTGTAAATGAACTGTTTCAATATTGATATTAGACTGAACTCTCTAACTAATTGCATTACCTGCAAGACAGTTCACAAAATAGATTATAGGTAGATATCTATAATAGATTATAATAGATGTAGATAAACATAACAGATTATAGACACAAAATCACATTATCATTTTAGGAAATAGCCAATTATTTGATTATATCACTTATTCAGTTTGGGGTATATTTTAGAATTTTTGAGCCAGAAATAGTAGTAATTTAATACAGACATGTTTGTGTATTGAATTTGATATGCAGCATTACAATATATGTACAAAGTTGAATGAAGGAAATTAACATTTTAGTCAGTTCTAAAGAAAACTGGAGACATCACTATTTCTTCAAGGAAATAACTGGAGAAGAAGCAAGACTAACCAAGTAGTCACCTGAGGGTTGCAAACATGGACTGGATGAGTTTCAAAGGCTTTTAGGTCACAACCTGTTACCCATGAGCCAGTGTATGGGTTGTTATCCAGCGTTCTTTTTACAGTGCAGTACTTTAGATCAGAATACAAGGGCCCAGAGGTTGTGAGGTCTGTTGCATAAATAGGAATCACCTAGGTAACAGTAAACAAATATTTAGATTATTCAAAAATGCAAGGCATTTTAATGCTGAAATTTAGCACACTTTCCCAGAAAGTGGATGAAGTCAAAGCAACTTGTTAGGTTTGTGGTTGAGTAAAGTGGCTTGTTTGCTTTTCCTCATACAGGCGCACATACGCTCCACGTGAAAGAAAAAAAAATCATTACTTAAAGCACCAAAATTGAATACTCTTTAGTACCCTTCCATAAAGGGTCACTGGTCTTGACACATTAACTCAATTTTCTGAGCACAGATGCTGCCAGACCTGCTGTGTTTCTACAGCAGTGCCTGGTTTTTGCCTGTTTCAAGCCCTTCCACTGTGGGTTTTTTTTGGTATACATTTTTAATATAGATAAACTATGCTTCTAATATTTACTTTTCATTACAAACTTCTACAGGAAAGAATAGATTAACCATTGCATCATGATGCCTCTGTGATAAGTTTTTGCCTTTCTGAAGACAAATGATTTACAGTGTTCTTACATCATTTTCTGTAAGAGTGTTGCACATTTGATCTCCATAAGTTACCTGTTTGATATCTCCAGAGTTGTTGAGTCTAATGAGGTGAGCACTGCCTTGGGTAAGTCCGCCAATTCTCTGCAGGAAGTCTTGGCATTCGCTGTCTATCCATTTATCTGATAAATAGAAAATGTGCACTGGACGACCATGTGACATATAAGGTACCACATGAAAAACATCCTTTAATGGATTGTCAGGTAAGCCATTTGTCACCAGGTAAATGGCCTTACATGTTGGATCGTGAAATGCAGCAGTTAATGCACCAAGGAGATTCCTTCCCTGTGTACAGTAGAGGGATTGAACCCACTGTATTGCGTTGTAGATTGTCTGAGAAGAGCATGCTACTAGACGGTCACACCATTTGGTAACCTGTGTAAAAACAGGAGATGTTTAACAGTGACAATATATTTCAAAACAACAATTAGAAAATGACTGATTGGTATTTTATTCAAACTGCTTTAATTATGCTAATTTACCAAAAATAATGAGTAGTCAATTTTTAGGGTGGGCTCAAGTCATTTACACCATACATAGCAATTACACTGCTGTAACCATTGTTAATAATATGACTGTATTAACAACAGATTTAAGTAAGACTACACTATATACAAAAACACACAAAGTAGAAACAGGAGCAGACCAGACGCCTCCCATTCAATACAATTGCAGTTGATCTTGGGCTTTTGCTCCACTTTCCCACCTACTCCCCATTCCTTGTGCTTCACTAAGAGACCAAAAATCTGTCTTTACAAGTCTTAAGTGCATTCAAAAATGCAACATGAACGACTCTCTAAGGTGCAGAATTCCAAAGATTCATGACACTTTGAGTGAAGTAATTTCTCCTCATTTCAATCTTAAATGATTGTCACCTTATTCTGAGACTCTGCTGCTAAGTTTCATATTCACTGACAAACCAAAACAATATCATGGCACCTACTCTGTCAAGCTCCTTCAGGATCTTGTATGACTCAGTCAGATTCTTAATCATTCTTCTAAACTCCACAGAAAAAGTTCTAATTATGTAATGTGTCATCATAGGATAACTCTTTCATCTCAGGAACCAATTTAGTGAACCTTCACTGTACCACCCCCAATGTGAGCATATCCTTCCTTAAAGATAAAGATTAAAAACAGCACAAAAAATTCCAGATGAGATCAAACCAAAACCCTACATACTGTAGCAAAATTATTTTTATTCTGGCACTCCAATTAACTTATAATAAGGGTAAATGTACAACTTGCCTTCCGAAATGCTAACCTTACGTGTTCCTTACATCCATGTCGCTCTGAACCTGAGAATTTACAATTTTAACACCTTTTTAGAAATTTGTTTCTCTATTCTTACAGACAAAGTAAATAACTTATGCCATCCTGTTACCCATTCATTTAAACTGTCAATTCCTTTCTGAAGACTCACTGTGTTCTCCCCTTGTTTATTTTATCCAGATTCTTCCTTTTTATATACTTAAAAAAGCTTTTAAACTAATTTTAAAATTTCTGACTACACATGTGCATATTTCTTCTTCTTTGATTTTTAAAAATCTACTTTGGTGGTCATTTTCTGGTTACTAAAATATAAACAATTCTCTGTATCACTACTGTTTTTCTTTGCAATATAAGCCTTTTCTTTTATTTTAATATTAATCATAACTTCCTGAGCCATGGATGAGTCTTTCTGTTTTACGGTGGATGTATTATTGTTGAACATTTTAAAGTGTTTCTTTAAATGTTTGTCATTGTTTATTTTACTGCATAACTTTTAGTGTACTTATTCAATCAAACTTAGCCTGTTCTCCTCTTATACCTGCACAATTTTTTAAGATTTTGTTTCCGATTGGAGTATGTATTTAAAATCTTAATATGAAATTCAATGGTTTTATAATCATCATTTTGCAATGGATTATGGCGTTCCCAATTAATCCTGCCTCATTACACAATGCTAGACTAAGATACTTCTGTGCCTAGTCAGTTGCACAAAGTATCCCGAAGGGACATAATTATGAAAACATTATATAAACTTAACTTCTAGATCATCCTCACCAATAAGATTGCTTCAGTCTTGATGAAGATTAAAGTCTCCCATAATAATTACATTGTCTTTGTTACAGGCTTCAATAATTTCTTCTTTAATGCTCCACCCAGTGACAATTACACAACTAAATTACATTTATTAACTTTTAAAGTTTCTTTTTGCTAACGTCAATAAGGTATAGCTCTATACCTCTTAGTACTGCTCTATTTCCAGCTGATGTTAATTCTAGGCAAGTCAGATCTCAGAGAGAAACCTGATAATGTACATCTTAATTTTTTTTACCTGTGGAGGTCAGTATTGGAACATATTCATAAGTGGCTGTTTTTGTACTTTTAATACAAATGATAAAATGTCTATTAAACAAGTAAATGATGAACTATATTTCTCAAGACAAAACATTAGGTTTGAAAAAAATTAATTACTCACTTCAGAAAAGGACTCAAACTCACACTACCCATTTTATCCATCCAATATCTTTAGTCACCCAAACCTCAGTGAATAGTTCCTACTATCTCCACATTGAAGCTCTGAGCTGAGATTCAGGCTCGTACAGTTGCGGTTGACTTACTTGAGCAAATTTCTGTGCAGTTGATGGTTTTTTTCCCTTGATCTGGTGTATCTCCCTGAGACTCTTAGAGCAACTGCAAACTAAACTCATTTTTATATTAAAGTCAGAGTAACTACATGAGTTCCCAAAATTCAGTGTCCTGCCGTCCTTCACTCACTCTCTGGGATACCAAACACGGACTCACTTTCTAGCTTCTCTATGTATCATTCTATGCTGCTTCCAAGCAACCCTTAAGCTCCCAAATGAAACTTCTGTTTTCCCTTTCTTAACACACGAAATACAAAATATAATTTAAAGTCAAGCATTGTTCTTAACTGTACAAGCAGATTATACCTTATTTGAGAATTCCACAATGTTAAAGCGCCCGCAGTTTGTACTATACGCCATAGCCAGAAGCGTTTCCACAAGGTGATATTTGACTGTACTGAGATGAGCTTGCATGCTTTCCGAAGTGTCAATAACAAAGGTAACATTCGTATCCCTTACATCTCCGAACAACGTGGGAAATCCCCGGAACTGTAGAAAGGGGTAAACCACAGGCATGCTTGCAGTTCCCAGAGATCGTGTACCTTCCCCAAAAAATACAAGCAAATTCGAATCAGCACGAACAACAACAGGTGGTTTCCGCGAAAGACTACGTTAACTTCACGGAAGCATATTGGCGCTTGGAACGTGTCCGGGGGACATTTAAACGTTCAAAGAAGCTGCTTTTACCTTGTTTAGTGTTCGCTTCAATAGACCGGGGCTCACAAGAATGCGGCGTACTTGTTAAGACAGACTTTACCAAGATTAGGTCATTGGAGTAGCGTGATGATGTAAAACACAAGTGGTAACTTACTGATTGAAAGCTGTGTTCGGTCAAACTTTTTTTTTAATTGGGAAATTCATAACCTGCGCGGGGTTGTGTTTTCCAGACGAGAGGCCTGGCAGTGGCTGGGTCTATATACAGTGGTATACACTGAGCAGTACTCACCCGGATCAGCTGGCTCGCTGCTACAAGTGCCGCACGCCCCCGGCTTCCAAACCGGATTGTTTGTATTCTTTTGCCAGTTGCTAGGTTCCTTGACAAGACTGGGTTGCTCGGTTCCAGACTGGGTTGCTAGGTTCCCTACATCGTGTTGTTATGACGCGGTCCGCACTGAGGGTATTTTTTGTATACATGGAAGTTGTTCTGTCGCATCAGTCCTTCCAGAACTTGCTGCTCAGCATCGCAAACCACTGTGTAAACCATGCCTTCCACCAATAAATCCAAATTACTAACAATAAGAAAATAGGATGTAGTGTTTACCGTTGGACTTACTATGACATTGGCGTGGAAACAATTCATCTTCATCCAGCAGACTGCCCTAGAAGATTCTCATATGTCTTTTTACATATTGACAAGCACACACTCTGTGTAGTTTGTGCAGAATTAGTCATAGCTGCATCTATATGGAGTACTAATTGGCAAGTGCTTTCTTTCCCTTTTTATCTTCAGTCGTAATTAAATTTCAAGTTCTGACCAAGGATTCACAACTGCTACCTTTATTTGTGATATGGTACATCCAGTATCTTTGCCCCAGAGATACAGTAATCAGGGTATAAAGCAAAGGCTCTTTGTGTTTTCGTCCGGATTCTTCAGGTCTTGATACAAACTCAGGCCTGACTTCTTTAATATTTAATTTATGTTTATTAGTTCGTGCCCACGACAGTAAGACTAAGGAGCTGTACAGGGCCCACCTACTAACTACAACACTAACACATGACCACTGGGCTCAGAGTGACATCACTGCTCACCTCAGAGGCGTATTTATATATTTATTAAACACATTACTACAACAGCCTGGAGTACTATGACTGAAAGCATTTTCTTATTATTTGCTGAGACATTTTAAAAGCTTTGCGTTAAAACAAAAATATTGTCAACACTGCCATTTTGCTCCAAAGTCTTCTTTTTCTCATATTCAAATATCGTGGCAATTTCACAATTCCCCATGAACTGGTCATTAAATATGGCATTGGATCACAAGGGCAAGAAGCCTGGCCTAGAAACATGCTTTTAGCAGCTGAAACTAAAAGAATAGGATTACTAACAATATACCAAAGCTCATAGCACTCAATTGACAGATGGCTAACGGGCTGCTGCATCAGGATGAAAAACTGCAGATGCATATAGTGGTCACGAAACATAAAAAGAGATCTTTTTTAAAAAAAAGTTATACTTTCTGTTTAAATTTTTAAATGAACTTAGTGGTCTAAACTATGACAATTACAGACCACATGTTACAATTGGACTACACTACTGGAAAGTTCTTATCAGTAGTAAGCAATATAGAGTTTATATCAGCTTCAGAAAATGTTACGCACTATGCATTTGCATGCACTTTGCCGTCAACAAACACCACACGTCCCGCAGGTGAGATGCTTCCACCCAGATAATTCTGAAACTCATTATGCCTGAAGCAGCACTAGCAGCTGGACTTTGATTTCATACAAATGAACAATTAGGTGTAGAAACTCTTCATTAAGTCAAAATATGACTCATTCAGGGACAGTCACGTCAGAAACAACTCCACCATCACCACAACAAGAATTTGGAAATGTTAACTGAAGTCTCTGGACATCACTGCTTCAGTCTGGTAAGGATCTGGTTCCTGTTAATCTCAATCTGCTAAGAACCTATGGCTTGCTAACTCCATAGCTAGACTATAGCCTGAACTAAGCCTGCCTCAAGTCTCAGTCTCTTCAAAATGTTGGTTTCTAGACAAAATCCTATATTCTTCTGAAAACTGAACCAACTTCATGTTGCTACACTTTCAACCACAAGTAAAAAGTATTCTTCAAGTTCAGCCAAGGACCTTCACTGGACACTGACTTTCTGGACTCAAATGAAAAACACATGAAATATTGGCCATATCATTGATTTACGAGTTAATCACAGTTGTAATCTTTTTCCTCATTTCTTATCTTTTTCCATGTGTGTTTGTGTGTGTGTGTGTGTTGTGACAACAATCCCCTAGGTTTAAAGCATGAATAAAACATACTTCTATTTTAAAACCTAAAGATATTTCTGAGCCATTTAAACATTGGACTCTCAGGGGAAAGACATCACAGTCTGTTTCAAAAGGGAAAATAAATAAGAACAATTGTAGACACGTCTGCTTAATCACAGAATCAGAGAAAAATAATATCATTCAATCCACCTTTCCTTCTTGTTCTTAACAGTCAAGATACCTTCTATTGAAGAAAATCTGATAATGAAAAACAACTGAATGGTAAACTGAAGAAGAGTTGAGGAGTATCACTATTTGATTGTAATAGCAGGCCAAAACAGTATGAGATCTCCAAGATCTACTTTCAAGACTAGGATGAAGCAATAAGTAAATGTCAGGAAGACTGCAGAGTGCATTTTCACTTCTTCAAAGGACATTCTTATGTGTCATTACTTACCTCAAAGGCCCATCTGTATATTCATTAAAACCAAGTTACTGTGGATATTGGAAATCTTAAATAAAAATGAGAAAGCGCAAGGTAAAATTGTTAGGTCTGGCACAATCTGTGAAGGGAGAAACAGAGTTAACATTTTGAGTCTGAAATTATTATTCTTCAGAACTGCAATTCATTAAACCTTATCACTACAGCTATCATTCCATTGAACATTCATCGGTGTGGCTGAGCAATTTACATGTGAAGGCATATTACACAGGAACCTGCACAATGCATTTCTTCCTCCTATTTAGACTACTTTTCTTCCAATGGTATTTAAATTTTCCTTTCCTTGGCACATTTGATCCTTGGGCAAATTTGTAATGAACCCTCTCCCCATGCTTGTCTAAATTACCTCATCTCTGTTGACTGGATTTCCCATGTCTTGACATCTTGATGGCCAGGACCCTTTTCCCCTCAACAGTGATCCACATCCTGTTAGCTTGTTGGTGATCCGGTCTTAACCCATATTCCAACCTTTGACTGAATTCTCCCAACATTCAACCCCTGCTGAATTGTGCACCCATTCCCCTCCTCAGCACACACACTGAGCAAGATCCCAGGCAGAACAGCAAAACTGTGGTCATTTAATGACTAGAGACATTTAATTTGACAGGCCTTCTCTGGTCTATCCTGGATCTGCAGCTGGTAGCTGAGATCCCATCATCAGGCTTTTTTACGAAAAGTTCTTATTTTTAGTTGTCTTCATGGTATGACAACAGAGAAAACCCATGAAATAATTTAAGCATTTACTATAATGGGGATGTAACTTGTTGATTTCATGAATACATGAAAATGGTGGTATAGTGATAATGTCATACGACTAGTAATCCAGAACCCCATGCTGATGTCTTCAAGGAAGTGGATTCAACTCACACCATGGAAGGTGGTGAAATTTGAATTCAAATAAAAATCTACATTGAAAAGAAGCTAGCCTAAGGGTGAACACCATCCACTGTCAAATGTCATAAAACCTTGACTAGTTCATTAGTGCCCTTTCGGGAAGAGAATCTGCCATCCTTACCTTATCTGGCCTACATCACAGCAATGTGATTGATTCAGAACTGCCCTCCTGGCAATTAGGAATAGGCAATAAACTCTGGCTATGGCAGCAATAACCACAACAACCATGAACAAATTTTTTAAAAAGTTAGTTTGGCCATCTCAGCCTCTAAAGAAATCTCTGAACTTGAACACTTTAAAATGCAGAACTGACAAAAAGCACTAGATGGCACCAAAGTACTCTACATATAATGCTACACACACAAAAAAACTCAACCCTATTTTACACAGTGCTTTATAAGTTACATGCTTAGCAAGGAAAGAGTAGAAAGAAGGTTGAAGGTCTTGCACTGGTTAACAATAGAGCCCAGACCATTCCACAGTGCCAAGCCAACAGGGTTAGCCTCAGATAGGTTACAGTTACACAGTAGGAACATTGCTGCCAAGTTCCCAGTCAGGGTCAGCCTTTGAGGTGCAATGATGCAGCAGTGGGTAGAAACCCATGGCCCAGAAATAGAAACTGAGAGATGGAGAACAAGGGCAGGGCCATACATCACTTGGACATTAATAGAGGAGGGGAAGTCGCAGCCCTATTCATTGTTGCTGATTGACACACAGTTAAGGAACGACAGCTTTGGATGCATTCTTATACAACACATAATAATAGATTTGAGAAAGATTAGTCAGGATGCATGAATTCATCTTGGTTTCAGCACACTGCATTTTGGCAGCTAACAAATGCTTCTGTTTCATCAAGCTCTTACATACAGTGAAATATTTGATAGACTTTTTTATAACCCAGGTTTCAAACATTTCCCAAAGAACTTACTTTCCATTCAAATTTATTTGCACAGTTTCAATTCATCATGAAATAGTGGGTGGACAGAAATCTTGATTATATAATGTCAGGCACTGAGAAATCTCTTCAGTTCCAGATGCCCACTTTTTTGTTTTCTCTAAAAGTCTGAGTTCTTGATCATGTAATTCTGGAATGTATAGGGAACCAGAATTTTAACTTTCAGACCAATGAGAGCTCTTTACACATTATGAACTGCTGAATAAAGTTGAGGTGATTTAAAATGAATATTTTACTTTTAAAATATTATTATTTGAAATGATAACGAGCTCAACTCAATTATATTCTAAGTCTCGGTGGACAATGTAACTGGTATTATGTTCTGAAAAGTCAGTGAAATAAACAGTCATTTATGGGAGCTGTCTCAAACCAATGGTTTGACATTGCATTAAGTGTAGCTTCAGATTTTTAAAAATAATGTTAATGGTGGCATTGGATTTGTGGCATACTTCACAACCCAGAGAAAGCTTCCTAAAAGAATTTGACAAAGCAAACGCATCACTTGAAAAACACTTCACATTTATTAGTGACATCTGGAATTGTTTTTTCCTTCAAAGAGAAGGTGCATGTTTTGATTGAAGCAAATAAGATTCTGAGGGAACTTGACAAAGATGTTCAGACATTGTTCCCTCTAGTTGGAGACTCCAGAAAGAGGGAATATGGTTTAAGGATAAGGATTCAGCTGTTT